ATCCATCCTACCTGCGCTAGTGTACTATGTACTGCGCGGTTACAGCACAGGTGCAGCCCAGTACGGCCAAGGTATTTTACAATACGCGTACACAAGTGTATAGTACCCCACCCGCCGAAAGTGAAACACGAACGTATCAGTGGCATCCCTGTGAGATCTTTGATGACATAAGCAGATGGAAGCGGCCCGCTGCGCCTCACTCCACCTGCCCGTGCCTGCCGCGAAGCTTATGACCCACTTGTCAAATGCCGGTCCCGTCCTCGCGAGAGGGGTGGAATCCAATTTGTTCAGAAACTGCCCTAAAGGATACACTACTGAGGTACAATGCAGTACCTACGCTACACTACGTACGTACCACTGCCTAGCGGCGCGTCTCTGGAACCTTTTTGACGTACACGAGGTACGTACAAGTACTGCACGTCAAGCGCGCCCCTACCTACCTACCTAGTTCCCGGTCCCGCGTAGCCCCAGTACTACCCAGAGCAGCACTTCCAATTCACATTCCACTTACGCAGTAAGGTAGACGCGCCGCGACGGAAATCGGGACTTCGTCAACCGTAGCTTAGAGACACCCATCACCAAGTCCACCGCCACAAGACTCCCCGGCTATTTTTTCGTCCAGGCGACCGATTCGTCATCATTCAAGTCAACCGAACATTCCAATTCTGATTGCTCGGGCTTCAGATTCCTGTTTAGCGGCGGCTCTTCCGGCTCTGTTACTCGAGTCGGCCCTTGCTTGGTCATCGAGACCACACCTCACTTTCGTCTCCTCGACCACGAAACCAAAAGAATTGCCGTACCCATTGACTCATAGTTGATACCTATCGTCACGATGCCGACATCGCGCAAGCGGGCCCTCCAAGAGGGCGACACCAGCAACAATGCGCAACCTCCCAAGGAGCCATCCGTACTCCATCGCATAAGGAATATGTGGCAGTTTGCCAACCTTTTTCAGTTCATCCTCTTGTTCGGAAAGGCGCTTAAGTTGGACGACAGTCTTGACATCGAGGTAGGTCGGGAGATCCAACAGGCTCACGCTTGTTCCGAGCTGATATGTCCATTGCGCCAGGACCTCGAGGCCGAATGTCTAAAGCCAGGCTCAATGGTCCTTCAGGACATTGGCCTCGGTATTCTCAAGTTTCTCTCGTCCCATCGAGGCCTTACGTACGTCGACGGGATCCCCATGCCCCTTCACATTTTTGTCCCACCTCGTTTGCTTACAAACATTAGCCACGATGTGTTCGAAGAGTATACCCGAAGACAGTTTCTTGCCAAAGCCCCCGAGAAGAATCCATTCGGAACCGAGGATCTGCCTACCAAGTTTGCCGACTTTGACGTCTTCACAAAGGTGCGACCCGGTCCAACAACAGCCTCACGACAAACGCCATTCGTCTTGCCGTTCAGTTCAAGATGACACTAACATTCGGTCCTTGTTAGATCCGTGTACTCCAGCAAATGAGTCAGCTTGTCATGTGTACCCCCGAGCGCCTTCGCGAGAGGACAGAAGAGCAGAAGGACATGGACCAGACAAATTGGGTGCGCAAGTACATCTCCATGTTTAACGGGCGCTTTGGTGCTAATGAGAGATATATAGCGAATTGAGCCTTACGGATGGGACAGCAAAGATCGTACGTACTTCGTATTAGATGATAACCGCATCTATCGATTGACCGAGGCCCCGGCCCCCGCTCCCAAATCCAAGAAGAATACCAAGAAGGCCAAGGCGGTTTCTCGAAGCAGCAAAAGACGTCGCATCTCGGAAGCGGTCAGTGAGGGTGGCGATGCTGGCGACGAGGACTCTGTGACAGGGCAACCGGACGAGCGTGAAGATGACAGTTTTGGCGGAATGAAATGGGAATGCCTCGCCGTATCCCTAGATGAGGTTCGCCAATTTCTAGCCACTATCCAGAAATCGAAGGATCCGAATGAGAAGATTCTGCGCGAACAAATCCAGGATCATCTCGTCCCTATCCTTGAAAAACAAGAGGAGTCCAAAAAGCGCAAACAGCTGCAACGAGAGAAAGAATTGCAGGCACTGGAGAAGATGGCGCACGCAAAACGATCCAGCCGTATTGCTGGAAAGCTAGAGCAACAGAAGGCGGAAGAACAGGCTCGGGAAGAGGAACGCAAGCGGCAAGAAGAGGAGGCTGCCAGGCGAAAAAAAGAGCAACGGCAAGCCAAGATGGAGAGGGAGAGAGAGCATCGACTCATGTCAAGAGAACAACGACTGAAGGAGCGAGAGATTCGCCGTCTCCAGGCCGAAGAGGAACTGGCGCAACTGTCCGAGGACAGCAAATCCGTCGGCTCAGGACCCGGTCGCATGTCGGAGCGGCACCGACAGGCAGCGATTGAAAAGAACAGGAGAGCTCTACAGGAGCTGCAAGACGAGGAAGACGACTGGATATTTGACTGCATCTGCGGCGTCTATGGGCAGGTCGATGATGGGACACATAGCGTTGCCTGCGAGAGGTGCAACGTCTGGCAGCACAGCAAATGCCTTGATATTGCCGAAAAGGATGCTGAGCAAGAAGATTTCCATTTCATCTGCAGCTCTTGTCGCCGAAGCGAGGCAGAGAAATCCCAACAACCCCGGGTTATCAAGCTGAAGGTCAACCGCCATGCTTCATCGTCCCCTCCTCCTCAGCAGGTTGTGAGTGGCATCTCCCTGTCCCAAGCTGGCCGGTCACAGCTTGTTGTCGAGCTCGGGGCTCAGGCAATGTCTAGATCGTCCACCGATCGTATTAGCGAGGAGAACCCGCGCTCTGGGTCTCAGGATGGCCCATCGGGGCAACAAGAGGCAAAGACCGAACCTACCGATCTTCCAGGTGAGAAGAAGGGTACGGCAAGACCAGTCAGTGCGACGGGGTCTATTGGGCATTCGCCAGGGCGCCGGGAGTTGAACCCATTTTCATCGCCGCATCCCACTCTGTCTCCTCCTAACCAATCGCCTGGCAAGTTGAGAGCATATGACAGCATATTTCATCCTTCTGCCCCATCTTCTGCTGTTGGCCGCGAAGAGTCGCACCTTAAAGAGGAGGGCTTATTGCCTGTGTTGCCGCCCCCTGCCGGAAACGGTCGTTGGGCCTCGCCCTCAAAGCAACCGCAACGGCCGTCGTCGCCTCTAGGAACAAAGAGCTCTCCTGCCGCAGGCGCCAGAATAGTGAGCACGCCATTGCCACAACTGACCCCTGTGCAATCCGATCCCCACGCCCGGAATGGAGTCATCGACCGGTCATCACCCTTACCTCCCTCCCGCGCAGGGCTATCGCCAACCAAGCATTCGCCGCCTGTACCGCCGCACCATCAGGTGAATGGCTCTGCCAGCGCTGGCGCTTCCCCATCAGGAACTGGTCGCGCCGCTCCAGTTTTTCCCCCTTCGGCAGCCCTTGCCCCTTCCCCTCCTCAGCAAAATTTGGCGCCGCCGTTGAAGCCGCTAAAGCCTGTCGACCCGGCGAAATCGCAGCCGCAGACATAGGATGTACCGATGCGCTAGTCATATTTTCCGCCAGCTCATATGTGAATCAACCCCCTGGCTGCCACAAGTTTTCAACAGAAAATTTAATGAAATATAAAGTAGGAAGAAAAAGAAGAAGAGGAGGAGGAGGAAGAGGAAGAAAAAGAAGAAGAAGATCAGATGAACACAGGTTAGTGGCAGGTTTGTACTTCCATTCGTGCCCAAGCCGTGGAAGCTTTCGAACGGGTGTTCAACATTCGGCGCTTTTTCCCTTTTGGATGGACGCCGATAACTGCTCAAAGAAGTGATCGAGGGGCTAGAGAAGCCTCCCGCAGTCCGCGGTGGCCTCTCGGGCACTTGAGTCGGGACCGATTGAAGTCAATCTTCATTTTGACACGAATTCTCAAAGTCTGAATCGAGGGGTTGGCCCGTCAAGGTCGAACTTCTTGCATGGTATAAGCATTCTTGTATTCACATAGGCAAGTATATTCTGTAAATCACGGATTAGCAGCTTTAGTGTAGATGAATAGATGCAAAATGAAACGGGCGTCACGAGATGAGAGTGATGACAGTCTTTGGCATCACCAGAAATACCTGTCATTTTGGGTCCCAGACATCGGAATTACCGGGAAGTGGGACACATCAGCACGATGGTCTTACTGAGCATGTTGAGTTTGTTATGACACCGCGAATTGAGACACCGACGCTGTGGTGAAGAGGGTGATGAGAAGTGATAGATTGTCCTCATAGCTGATAGCTCGCAGGAGCAAATGGCTTGGGCTGGGTGTGGTTTCAGGGGTCCTGGCCGGCTAGGGTGATGAGATATCGATATATCTCAACGCTTCGCGATCGAGGTACCTATCAATGCCGTCCCCAGCCCAGCACCACTCAACCTGTAGCTGAGAGGTATGTGATAGGCACTTGCCGTGTGTCCTGTTTGTTGAGTACCTTCGCTCCCATCATGATCCTCCCTACTTTTCTGGAATGCATCTGGGGTTAGACGGAAGGGATCGCCCTTGAAATCCCACGTGCTTCCAGCTCCATTGAGTTTGCGTAAATCTTGTTGAAGATGCAAAAGAGATGCTCACCTTACCCTATTCCATGTGAGTAGGTATGCTATTGGTTAGCTGCCTTGTAAAACCGCCTTCTGGCTGCATTGAGAAACAGATCCATGGGTCCCCCTTGTGATGCACTATTATACACTGCGCCTTTTTGGTCCTCATGTAGGTTTCAAAGCCAAGTCTCTCGCTTCAAGGTTAGCCTTGCCCAGAGATTGATGTTCGCTTCAAACAGAAGCGAGCTAGAAACCGGTGCCTTAAGACATGGGCAAGACGTGGGAAGGGAGATGCTAGTGATGCAGCTACCCGACACCATCTGGGGAGTTTATCGACATCCCTCCAGTAAAAATGTTGACCAAGTTTTTCTTTGCTTGCTCCGTGCCTCCTCTCGACAGGGGTTCGTAGCAGAGCGGCGCAAGATAGTTCGAATTCCGCACTGCCAAACATGCGCTGTTAGTTGAAGATTGATTTGTGTACGTTGAAAGGGAGGGTGGACTAGAATGCACATCCAACATGTTCCGTGCCTTCGCCTCCCACAGCGGGATTCGCGAATTGATCATCTATCCAACCCATCTACACCGTAGTTTATGGCATGCATACTGACTAGGTCCCCTGGATGCCAGATCTGGGATACAAACTTGGCTTGCATGGCTTGCTTTGCTTGTATACATAGTGGCGGGAGGGGTCAGAAAAATCATATTGATACCACAAATCCTGGTTCTTCTCAACCTCCATCCCTGGGATGCTATGGCGTGTCGAACCTCCCTTCCTTCCTGATCTTGACCTTGGTAAAAAGATGCAACTGATGACCGCCCAACACCAGTCATGTGCCAAGCACGGGACGGGGATTGACACTCAACAAGATAAATGGCAGCACTCTGTTCTCCCGCTCCCCGGATCTGGACGTGACATTTGGTCTGATGAAAGAAAGCCGCAACGCCTTGAGATCCTTGGCGGCAGGTCACTAAGTACCTATTCATGCCGTTTCCGGGTGTCGCCGGCACATTCCACTCGAACACTTTCGAACCCTCGTCCAAGCCGCCCTCTCCTCGGTAAACACTCCCAGTTTCCCTACTTGTCGCACTTGCGAGCGTACTGTAGTTTGTAGAAACCGCACCGTATTCACGCCCTCTTTCCCACCACTGTATGCCACTCCCAAAATCGGGACACTTCAGGCCCTTGGGACAGACAAGCTCGGAGATGGTTGCGGCGTTCGTTCGTCGGCTGGATGCTCGAACCCGTGAAGCAGAACCAAACAGTTGATGGCCAGGGACCCCGGAGAGACCGTAGAATCTAGAGCCTCACTGGCACGAAAAGATTCCTCTCCCATCTGCCATCCCATCCCATCCCTCCCCTTGAAGTTTCCGCTGCCGGCTCACTAAACCTATACCTAGCTTGTCTGATCCCCGTAATCCGGGTTTGACCAAGAACAGTTGGTCGAGGCTCTGCAATCCTTGTGACGCAACGGCTCATTGCCTCTGTAAATAGACACGACCGTGGATCATTTTCCAAGCGACTAGCGCTCTTCCCATTCAGATTCCCTCCCTGGGCACGGATACGTCAGGTTTGCCAGGTCTCCGAGATAGAGCAACTCGCTCCCACACGGCAGCACAACCCCTCGCTCCCTTCCCATGATGTTGCCCGTGCTTTCCCTCTCAGAGGGTTTCCTGGACTTCGCCCAGGTGGCTCTTCCGAAAGCAGCGTTCTCCTGGATGCGGCAAGAAGTACGATCGTAGACCAACCGCACCTCCAGCTAACAACCTGAATGTCTAATAAAGAAGTCTTGAATAAATACATGCTCGTGATCTCCCCGCCTGTCTTCTTTCTCTCGTGTGTGCCCCCCATCAAAAGAGTGCTACTCTGCCCAAGCCAACAAAGGCAGTCTCTCCTCGCACCCCCTTTTCCTTCATATCGTTCAGCGAGCGCGGGAGACACGGATCACAGCCGGTCAACAAGCATCTAGCCACTTTTCTCCCATACGCAGCGACCTGTATCTGTCCTGTGCCGAGCTCTCGCAAACAAAGGAGGATAGGTACCGCAATCTCCTCTAGCACATAACGCGAACCAGCCCAGACACCCCATCCCAGACAACTGCATCTGCATCTGCATCATCCTGCTGCAAGACCGGCTAGAGTTCCGGGAGTGGTTGGAAAACAGCGGTAAAGGTGTTCGAACAGACGAACGCACCATCTCGACATCTCCTTTCCATCGGCATCCAAGAAGCCCGACATTTCTTCCAACCCGAGGGGGAATTCCGATTGGGAAGATAAAAGGACTTGTTTGTAAAAAGACAGAGAAAAGACAGATGGGAAAGGTATCACATCCTTGCTAGGAAGCGAACAGTTGCAACAGCTCTTCACTTTGCCCATGTCCAAAGCCCGAAACAGCTCGATATATATCACTCCTGTTCCGGTACCAGTAACCGGATCACCTCCTCTTTGGTCATCCACACCACGAGTTATCCACTAGGACAACAGGGACAACAACAACGACAAAAACAACAAGCCTTGATATCAATAAGAGCAGCTGGTCTCAGAAGTCGACTGCTTTAGGAAAGAATACGACGAAGACACAATCGACCCCAGACGGCCAGGAACCAAGAGTACCAACCGACGACTTCGACCCAAAATTGCATATCCTCTCGAAATGGATAGACGCACCCCACCTTCACCTGCTCCTTCTGGGATAAGTCTTCATCATGACTATGTTCAACAACATCACCCAATGACCTTTCCCTCACAGTTGTTGGAGAACATGGCGTCAGTACCCTTCCAGACACATTCGCAACCAGGGACAAGATATGGGACACCGGTCCCCCATCCTTTATCCCACTCTCAAAGTTTTGATACCGGACTTCAACAACAGTATCAGCGCGCCATCAGTGTCCAACCTGTAAGAGAAACGTCACAGCTCCCCCCTCGTGGCGGTTTTGTATCCATGATTTGCTGACATGAAACTGAAAAATCCAGCAATATCGTGGTCAGTTATACGGACAAGACAGCAGTTCCTATGGCCCTATCCCCGAGGTAAACTCTTTCCCAATCTGGCTTGAACTGGGGTTGTGAGTGGACGCTGATGATGTACCCGAACTCCTTTCAGCCCTATAGCACTCCCGCGACGTCCCCACCGACACCGGCACGACATGCCGAGTTGATGAACAGCAACCACCGAAACTCTCCCCTCAGGAACCTGACTCGGAGCTCGAAAATCGAGAAGAAGCCGCCAAGGAAAAAGAAGTCGTCAACGGATTCGAAGAAGCTCGAGGGCAAAGTAGCAGCCTTACTGCTCGACAAGCCACTGAGCCAGCAAAAAGTTCCCGAAGATCTGGTGTTAACCAACATGGAGGACTACGTGAACCGAGGGAAAGAGGTGCGCCAACGGGAAGTCGAGAGCGGCAAGAACCCGGGCAAAGTCAAGCGGCCGATGAACGCCTTCATGCTGTACCGCAAAACGTATCAGGGCGTGGCCAAGGGCTGGGCGGACGAGCACAACCACCAGGTGGTATCGCGGGTGTGCGGCATGAGCTGGCCGATGGAGCCGGAGCAGGTGCGGGAGCAGTTCAAGGCGTGGGCCGAAAAGGAGCGCGAGAACCACCAGTTGGCGTTCCCGGACTACAAGTTCACACCCACAAAGCCGTCCAAGGCGCCCAAGTACAAGGATGGCAACGAGAGCGACTGCTCGGATCCCGAATGGGACCCCACCGGCAGTATCAGGTCGCGAACCCTACCGCGCGCTCGCTCGCTGACAAGGGCATCCAGCGATGACTTTGACGATCATCCGCCGTATGTCATGGGCCGCTTGACCTATCCGCCTTATGGGTACTCGGCGGGTATGCATAACACAATGGCAGCCTTTGCCGGGCACCGGTCGCCCTTTGAGTATTCCAACCCGAGCAAGGCCATGCCTGCGCCGTATGAGCATCACCCTGGGGCGCTACGGGATGGATCGTACTATGAGGCGCAGGTGCACACGCCGCCAAGACAGCTCCATCACGGCATGTCGGTTGAGGACATCGTCATGCGTAGGACGCCATCGCCGACCATGGCCTACTCTGGAGGGCATCCCCACGGGTTGTCGATGTCCAACGCTGGTGCCCATGACTTGAATCAGTACAGTCAGCCCATGTTCACCGATCATTTCACGGCCAGTCCGGCGAAGTATGACCTTCCAACGCAGCAGTCACTGCTGTTGAAGCAGGAGCACTACGACCACCAATATGAGCAAAAGTATGACTCGCATCTTGAGCCGAAGTACCACCACCACAGTCATGACTCGCAGCATGATCAGAAGTACGATCCCCACCACCACGAGCGCAAGTACCATGTGCTTGACGAACCACGCATCGACCCATCGCTAGAGAATGTGTACACGACCTCGGCCGGAGCAGGCATTCACAGCATGATTGGCAACGACGGCGGCGGTGGTGGTAGTGAGAACAAAACCAGCATAACGCAGGCGACCACCTCATCGACACAGAGCGCATGGCAGCCCAACACGTTGGGATCCTCCGGGGGAGCAGGGCCCATGGCGTCGGGGGCTGACAGCGACAACGGCAGTGGTAGCCAGTTTGTCGACAGCTTCATGTTTGAGGACGAGCACATGCGGGCGCTGAGCGGGGGTAACTGGCATGTAGAAAGTGTGGACCCTCCGCTTCCGGATGGCAGCCACTTTGACACGAGCTGGATAATGGACCAGCCCGCCGTAGCTGATGCGGTCGTCAAGACGGAGCTGGTCAGCCACACGCCTTGAATGATCGTTGTCACGGGTACAATAACCACCTGGATGGGCCCATGTCAGTTGATGTTTTCCAAGATGAGGATGCTATCTTGGGAAACCGAGGCTTCGCCACAATGGTGTGGTTAAGGGAGGCCGAACAAATCCATATTTTTTTTTTCTTTTTCTTCTTCTCTCTTTTTCTTTTATCTCTCTTTCCCTCTTTTGTTGAGATTCGGAGTTTGGAACGAGGACAGGACAGGATCAAGGTAGGGAATACAATCATGGGTGCAGGAAACGGAACGGGCACAAGGACGGGGTTCGGGATCTGGGCTTAGAATTTTGGAATTGGGTATTGGAGTCAGGAAACGGGCATTGGATGAATCATGGATGGAGTAAGATACCTTGGATACCACAACCACACCCTCCTGGATTGAGACCTTGTATGTTTAGTTTACTCCATGGCGCAAACACACCATTGTATTCTGAGGCTTTGAGGCCGTAAGCTCAGGACCGGAATGGTCAGGCATCTCTCGATCAGGGGTTCTTGCCGTAATAGTGGGTCGTATGATCTGAACGTAGACAAAACCCACCGAGATCCAGGCAAAGGTATGTACCTACTGTATGTCGTGCGCGTATCTTAGACATGCTTGCCTGTAAATATTCCCGTTGAGCTGTCGTATAAGCCGTCCTGCCGTCGTCGTGCCTTGCATCCAAATCAATCACAAGTCATGATCCGTCAATCCATCATAAGGTAAACAGATGACCATAACGCAGTAGAAATGGCTGCGGTGCTACGCGCGAGATATGGTGCGAGACGGGAGATTCCGTGTTGAAAGTGGGTGACGACGACGAGCACGGCGGCCGCGACGTTTCCGGCATGTGGTTGTGCACTTAAAGATCAAGCAAGGGTGGTGATTTGGAGTTGAAGCCCTGCGAGTCCATGGAGCCGCAATTGGCACCCCCTAGCCTAGGGTAGCACCACCGGCTGACGTGCGATGCTACCCTTTAGCCCCGCTTCCTCGGCCAAGCTTTGTAAAGGCATAACTTTGCGATATTACCGTTTAGTTGCAGGTTAATCCTTGTTTGCGATCGGCAGTTATGCACCAAGACATACACACCCTCATTCCCATGTTGCCAGTTGCACGGGCACGTACCTTGTAGCTTTGGACGTCAAACATCCAAGCACTTGACGTCGACATCAATCATCTACATTCCATTCCAGACACCCTTCCGCCGAAGAACCTGCAACGAAACCCGCCTCTCGTTACGTCCCAGTTGCCGGCATCTCCTACGTTGCGATTATATAGCGAACAACGTCAATTATGACGTGGATATCCAACACCATCACCGTCTTTGGCGGCCTTCTTCTCGCCCATGCGTAAGCATTCTCCTCCCCCACCAAAACATCGCGTCGGACCCCCGCCTGCTGCATACTCTACTCTACTCTACTCTACTTTACTCTACTCTACTCTACTCTACTTTGACCGGTTGGGATCTGACGACTGTGCGTACAATGCAGGTGTTATTCGGCCCAAGAGCACGCAGCACTGCAATCCTTCAGGGCGGCGGCCACGAGCACACTCACCTCGTCTACTCCGGTCGCATCGTCGCTTCCCGTGGATATTGCCATCGAGACCATTGTCGCAACCCTAGTTATTGTGCTTGGTCTGGTCCTGGGAACGCGCCCGCTGCGGCCGATTCAATGGCGCGTCTGGGCCGGCAAGATTGAGCGGGAAGGGGAGGAGGGCTTCTTGGGCAACAACGGAGAGGTGGAAAAGGACTACATGGGCAACCCCTTCACCTATCTGGAATCTCGGCCCAGCTTTGTCGACATCCGCAGGCAGCGAAAAGAGTTTGCTGAATGGATCAAGAACGGTGGCGGCGATGCCGGAAAGAAGTGAAGAATCCACGGGACGGGGTTGGATCGGAGCCTCGCGACCTATGTTGAGTTGATGCTATTAATCTAGGCCATGGGGTACATGCCCGGATACGTTGTGATTGATTCAAACTGAAGAGCATATTGTTCACAAGGGCTTTAGCGAGCCATCTACCTGATTTGGGCCTCCTTGTGACGGTGGGGCAGATGCATCATTTGTCGCTCCACAGCTACTCTCAGTGCTCCTTCCCAAGCTGCTCTTGTGGCCAGGATGGGAGGATAGTTCCTGCCTTGAGCGGCCTTGCTGGGACATGACACACTGGACTTTACACGCCCATGGAGGCGTTGGTCGACTCCCCGCCGTCCCGTCTCGACTGAAGTTTCTCTTCATCGGAAGAAGGTGGAATGACACCGACACACACACATACACGCAGCTCCATGTCCTTCGTATCTTGGTTTCAGAGGTGCTGACGGCGCTCATCCTTAGTACCTATCCAACAGCTATTACCAGCATCTGGTATCCTGTCCATTGTTTATTTCCTTCCGTCGTTTTCAGCTCCTTTTCTCTAGAGGGGGTCAACCTGATTATGGATTTCTCCCTTCAGATCAGTAGCGACTCTTCTGGCCGCTCTACCTCGCCGGCGCTCACTCCATCAAGCCTGGCAGCATCCTCAACAGCCTCACCTCGTCCACATTTGAGTGCGTCTCGAGCCTCTCTGGAACGACGAAGTGTCACTTCTTCCTCTCGTAGAAGTGTAAGCGGCTCCTCTTTAGCCCTTGGAAGACGTTCAAGTGCTGCTCTACCATCTTCCACACCCTCGGGAACTTCACGGCCTCGGGTGTCATCGCAATCTCTTCCCCGACATGCATCGTCATCGTCATCCCGTCAAAGACAACATCAAACACAAAGCCCCCAAGTCTCCAGATGTACTGGCTCCACAGCCTCAGAGAGACGATCGACATCGTCATCGTCATCATTTCGGTCTACGCCGCCCGGTCTGAATTTCAGATCTCCTAGACCCGTGGAACCCCTTTTCCCATCTACCTTCTCTCCCTCGCAACGTGAACCGCAAAGCTCCCCAAAACTGCCGATTCTACCAAGAGCATCGAATAGAGATTTTCGTCGATTCTCTGCAACCACGTCGCTGACCGCGAAATCCTCGACTACTCAGCGTCCTACCCAGACTGTTACGTTCTCTCGATACGATGAGGCAGAAGAGGAGAGGTACAGAGAGCAGACTTCGGACGCTCTGAACGAAGTCATTATGGCTGTCGACATGAACAGAGAGGGAAAGATTGGATGCGCATACTACGTGGTCATTGACGAGACTCTAATTATCGAAGAAGATGTCTCCATGGGCGGAATCGAAACAGTGGCCACTATTGTACTTCAAGCACAGCCAACAACTATCATGGTGCCGAACAGAGCTCCCCAGACACTTACCGAGTTCCTCGAACGGGATGCTCAAAGGCTTGACGATGACGATGCCACCGATATTCGAGGGCTCTATATCCTTCGTCATCTTGCCAGTGCAGACTTTGACTATGACGCAGGCAAAGAAGCGCTATTGGGGCTTTGCAATGACTCATCGCCCGGATATGGGATACCGCCAGGGGAAGAAGACGAAGACGCTGTGCATTGCATTGGCTCTTCGAACCACAGGCGATTAATGCGCTTAGAGAAGGCAGTCAATCTCAATAGCCATCTATCAGTTGGTTGCGCTGGTGCTGTGTTAAGTGACCTTGAGCGTCGTCGCAGCGCCGAAAATCTCGCTCCTGGTGCCGAGGCACCAGTATCTTTCAGAGTCAAGTCAATTACCATGGGTTCGCCTTCAGATGTAATGCTCATAAGCGCAGATGCCTTGTTGTCACTACAGATATTGAGAACAGAGCTTCACCCAAACCCGCAACTCCAGTGCCTTGGCGGCTCCGGGAACAAAGTCAAAGAAAGCCTCTCGATTGCGGGGCTCCTCCAAGCTCTAGCAGGTACGGTCCAAGGAAAATCAAAACTTCGTCAAATGCTCTTCCAACCAAGCATTGCTATCGACGTGATCGAGGAAAGGCAGCGGAGTATTGCCGTCTTTCTCCGCCCTGAGAACAGTGATATTGTACAGAGCATACGGAGGCAGTTGAAAAAAGTCAAGAACATCAAGGCCGTGTTACACCACGTCAGAGGTGGTGTTGACCGAATAAGAGGACAGTTATCCCTTCGGATCAACGACTGGAGGGCGCTTTTACGGTTCACAATGCTTACCACTCAAATACGGGAGGACATACGCTCACTTGTGGGAGGCCAAGATTTAAACATCTATGCAAAGGTGATTTCAGATGCCACATAACGAGGATGGTTGGATAGTCTGCTGACATACGCGATGTCTTACCAGCTCCAAGAGGATATCAACACTCAGGGCATTCTACAGGCCGGTGAGATGATCGTGAACACGATTGACTTTGAACTGTCACAAGATACGGGCCGAACAGAAATCCTACCAGGTGCCAGTGAAAGATTAGACGAGCTCAAGGACGACTTTACTCAGGTGTACCAAATTCTCTCCGATGTCAAACGAGAGATTCTGACGCAAATTCCCAAATGGGCTGTCCAATATGTCCAGGACTGTACAACAGTGCCCCGACTTGGATTTCTCATTGTAGTGGCCCTGAACCCTGAAAATGGAGAAGGTGCTTTCAATGGAACGGGACTTGCCGATGACGAGTGGCATCAGGTGGTGAAGGATGAACAGCGGGCTTACTACAAGAACACGACGATGGTTGAACTGGACGACATGTATGGTGATTTAACTGAGGAGATTGCCGGTAAGTTTCCATGACACCTATAAGCATCAACCAACTCTCAAGGTTCAAATCTGATAGTAATCCAGATGAGGAAATCGAGGTGATAGTGGAGCTGGCAGGGGCTGTTTCAGAGCATGAAGATGCACTGATTCGCGCCTTGGAACTACTGGGGGAGCTTGACAGTCTGCTTGCGTTGGCTTTCGCTGCAGAGAAGTACAATTGGGCTCCACCAAAAATGACATCCGAGAATATCATTGACATTGAGGGTGGACGTCATCCACTTCAGGAGCTTCTCGTACCGTCCTTTATCCCCAATGACTGCATACTCAGAGGTGGTTGCGCATGGGAGAATGGCAATGAGATTGACTTTGTAGGTGTCAAAGACGAACCCAAAGAGCCATCGGCCTTGGTCTTGACGGGTCCAAACAACTCCGGAAAGAGCATCTACATGAAACAGGTTGCCCTAATCATCTATTTGGCACACATTGGAAGCTACGTGCCAGTCACGCGTGCGACAATTGGAGTGACTGATCGAATTTTCACCCGGGTTGCCACCCGAGAAACCGCCATGGACGATGAAAGCGCTTTCATGACCGATCTCAAACAAGCAGCCTTCTCCATCAACTTCGCAACCCGGCGAAGCCTCATACTCGCGGACGAGTTTGGAAAAGGTACCACAATGGAAGCCGGTGCGGCGGTCTTCACGGCCTATCTGCACCATTTATTGGAGCTGGATGCGGATCGACCCCGGATGCTCGTGAGCACACACTTTCACGATGTGTTCAATAGAGGATTTCTAAAACCTGAAGAGGGTGTTGCGTATGCTCACATGGAAGTTCGACTGAATCCAGAGGCGGAAGAGAGGGAAGAGCATATCACGTATTTGTACCGTCTCGTTCACGGACGGGCTGAACACAGCCTGGGACTAATGTGTGCAGCGATTAATCATATTGAGGATGATGTGTTGAAGAGAGCAGGAGATGTTTTGGGCATGCTGGAAAGAGACGAAGATATTGAGGCGGTGTTTGCGATTCCCAGTCATGAGGATATTGAGGCATTAAAAGCTGCGGAGCTTGTTTCCAGGCGGTTTCTTGCTACGGATATACCACAAGGAGGGAGAGATACCTCGAGCGGATTTTGTTCAATTCGGGATATTCTGAGGGGATTTTTGTCACACAAAGAGGACGGGGGAGATGTAGGTGACGTCGATTCTGAAGAGTGAATCTCGAGGCGAAATCCAATTTGTAATCGTACGGTGATTGCTTACTTGGAGGATATCGTAGACTTGACTGGATGTTTCTATATCTCTCATAGCAACAAAAATACGTTGCATTAGTGCACACCACTTTCGTAGTCTACGTAGCTCACGTATATCTGCTACATGAACGAGATGGGATGTTGCGACCTTATGCTGATCAAAAAGCTCGGACCGAGTTGTTGATCTTCATGACACTCCGAATTAGAGCTTCCTTGCTTGAAGAAAGATGAAGAAGTCACTTATGATCTGATTTCTTGGAGTTCTAGATTTACACTCGTTTGAATGTATCCAAGCTCTGTCACCGTCGGCTGTTTGATGTACAACTTTTAGGACAATTGCCATTCCCAGATTCTTTCTTTTACCCTGGTATCACAAATGCCACGCCAATGCCCTTTCCGCTCTCCTCTCTCCACCATATTCATGGTGTTTCCCCGTAATAAACACAAGAAAGCCTGCTTTCTAATTTTGCTCTTTTCTCATAACTGATCAACTCATGAAGCCCACCCTCTTCATTTCTCCTTTCTCCTTATCTCTACATTCTCTCCCAGATCGACCCGGCCCACTTAGGACAACTCCAGCTATGCAAACAAAAACCCAGCAACAGCCAAATACACAAGTGTCAATTCCCAATGCAAAAAGGGCAGTGAAACCGTGACGGCCATGACGGCAGAACTAGGGATCGGCCCGACAAACGGCCCATACGGACTCGAATCTGGGCGTGGTTTTGGTGCGGGAGCAGACGTAGCTGCTTCGTTGGCTGGTTTGTTTGAGGAAGTCTGGGGTTGAAGCGTGGTGGCGGTGTTGATGCTGCTGGTGCTTTCTGGCGCGGAGGCGGTGGCGGCTGATGGAGAAGTGCTTATTGACGAAGGCGATTCTAGTGTAGTTTGTACAACCGTTGGCTTTGTCGTAGTTGCTGGTGAAGGTACATGCGTCGTAGTCGCCGTTGTAGGCAAAGGGTGATGCACTGTCGTGGTCGCAATTGTTGGCGATGGGGGAAGGTCCTTCACCAGCCTGCTAGCCCATGCCTCAGCCATTTCCAGCTTCTCCTCAGGTATCGGTTGGCGGATGGCTTGGCAACCAGCTTCCATGATATCGATCAAAGTGTCGTCGGCACGGCGGAGTTCGGCTTCGCAGTAGTAGGACATGCAGGTCAGAGCCAGCTCGAGGAAGATGCCTTTGCCTGCGAACTTGCACATGCATTGCGGGTTGTCGGTGCTACAGCCGGACACGTTGACGCAGCTCTCGACGCAGGAGGGGAAGGCAAATGCTGCCGGCGATGTTGAGGACGATGACGATGTGGGAGATGCTCGCCCGGGCGTCGTATAAAGGATCGATGAGCTGGCGCATAAGAGCGCAAAACGAATGATGCTGTTTGAGATCATAGTGCTATTCGGTTTGGCTTCACTAACGAAGGATTGGGCTTGATATGGCCGTGAGCTCCTCTCAAGAGCAGATGAAAAGGGTTGAGGTCAACTCGCAACTCTTAAAGAACATTCATAGTGCCTGGAAGGCGCAGAGACGAGCGGCGACGAGGTTGGTGATGACGACGGAGAGACAGACGCAAACGCAACAGACAGATAACAAGAGGAGGAGGTTAGGACAAACACCACCAGGTGGTTGGGATCGGTTGGAATTCCCAGTGACGTTCCAATGCCGCCGGCATCTCTTCACGATGGCTTGGACGGGAGGGGAACTAGGCCGCCCGCTGGCATGGTAGAGAGAAGCTGGTCTCACTTGATGAAGCCTCCGAGGTTTCTATCCGCAATCGCGTGCGGGGGCGCGTTGCCTAAGATGATGGTGCTGGTGATGGCGCTGCCATCCTGAAACACGAAAGAGATAATGTTTTCATTCTGAGAAAGGGCAGCCAATCAATCGAGCTTTCCAATGCAACGTCGTCAAGGTCGGGTAAGAACTTCGTTGTCATATTGTGGTGTGCGAGGGCGTCCTATGCACGTTGCCAAGGTACAGTAGATCAATCGTTCAGCATACCTGCCTTGATAGGGAACAAAATGAGGGTATTCAAAGGTCTTGAATGGAAACTATCAGGGGAATTAAGCATGGAGCATACCGTAGAAACTCGGTTAGTTGGCAAACAGCCTTCCCTCTTTGAGCGCCCGACAGTACGCACAGAAAGCAGTATACTCCTGTACATATGTCCGCTCAGTTAGTGAAGGCTCTACAATATTGCCCAACACTATCTTGCATACATTCCAAAGCACAGGGTCGAATTCGAGCACTACAGATCTGCTAGCACCCTGCCTGATATCCAGGTTTTTCAGGCATTAGCTTTTTGCCAACTAACCGAGTTTCTACGGTAGTTTTTCAAGTAGTGAGTGTATCGCCTGTGCATAGTGTGTTGCGTAGAGCGGGGGAGGCAATCCATGTTCCAAATTTCTCATCTCATATATTTAGTTCGGTTAACTAGTGTCCCTAAACCTGAGTAATTAGCAATACATCCAACTTTCTGTACGCTTCAACTGAAAAATCAAGAAAAAAAAACATTTATATATTTTAAGCACTCAAACACCGTTGGAAAACTCCTTTTCGTAAGCCAGCTGGCCCAAAAGGGGACTTTGGGGGTGAAATGCTATATCTTAAGTTGTATTGCGAAGAGTACGTTTGGCGGAGGGACTTGTTTTGGGAAAAAAAAAAGAGATCTGTGTATATAGTACTTCTGTAAAAGGAGACTGTGAAGCAAATTTTGGGACTTCAATACCGTCCCCCGCAGAGCGAATTGAAGTCTGTTCTTGGTGTGATGGCCGGGTAAGTTTAATTGGATGGGGTAGGTACCAGTAGTACTTGGGGGGTTCTGGGCGCCAAGGCTTTCTTTCCCCCCTACATTCCATGTAGGGGGAGCCGAAAAGTTGGGACAGTATTTTAAGTTGGGACATCAGGAATCTTAGCGTTTCCTATAGAAAAGTGTTAACGAAGCCACTTCAGTCAGTTATTCTACAATGAAACCTTTTTCTAAAATTCTGGAAAAAATCAAGTATAGAATCCTTACTCAGAAGAACAATTTTTGAGACTTTGAGAAAATCAACTTCGAAAATGAGTAGATGGTCAGGTTTGAATATATCCTATTCACCAAATTCTCGCCTCTAGTGCGTACTAAGCTGCTAGCTAAATTTTACGATTATATAGTAAAAGAACACTTTCACCATTGCTACCTCCGCAACGCCTGGACCAAAATCTATGCAACTCTGAAAAAGTCTTTCTAGATATGCCTTTTTGCTTCTAGATTTTTTTTCGGAATTTTGGAAAAAGGTTTCATTGTAGAATAACTGACTGAAGTGGCTTCGTTAACACTTTTCTATAGGAAACGCTAAGATTCCTGATGTCCCAATTTAAAATACTGTCCCAACTTTTCGGCTCCCCCTACATGGAATGTAGGGGGGAAAGAAAGCCTTGGCGCCCAGAACCTCCCAAGTATACGCGGACGACATCCATACCCCAGATCGCCCGTGGATTGTGGGGACTCTGTCGCTTCCGGCCCAGTACACAGTGTAAGAAATCCTGTTCCTGCAGTGACGACAAGTAAGTCGGTAAGTATCGTGGGGTAGGTATTTCTCTTATCGAGGACTACGATAAGCCCAAAATTTCCAGATCCAAACAACCGAACGCCAATGATCCCGTCACTTCAGTAGGACCGCAAGCTGATAGTAAACAACAAACCGCGATTTCACCCTCCATCCACTCCTTCTTTACCTCGAACCGACCAGATCCTTCAGAAAACATGGCGCCCACGAAGCCGAAAAACAAATCCCAGAAGGACAAGGCGAAGGCTCGCGCCAGAGGCGCCGCTCAACCGTCCAACGTGAACGCTAGAGAACTGCTGAACAATGCGAGTGCGATGCTCGAGGTTGGCGACATTGAGAATGCGGCAAAGACGGCAAAATCTGCCTACAAGGCAATTGGCGAAGAGGGAAAACTCGCTGGCGCCGCTCTTTCCCTCTTGGGCCATATCTACGTCGAGCTGGGCGAGATCGAAGCCGCCCGCGAGTTCTTCTTTGCTGCAGTCAAAACAGACGAGGATGGCACACTTCCCGAGGATGTTGCTGGGGGCCCCGAAAAGTTTTTGTGGCTTGCGCAGCTCAGCGAAGAAGGCGGACAAGACAGCGTTTCCTGGTACGATCGCGGTGCCTCTGCTTTGCGCCTCCAGATCCAGACTCTAAGCGACGAGCTTGAGAAGAGGCCCCACGGGAAGGAGCAGCAAGAGGTTCTCATTACCGAAAAGAAGAGACGACTTGCGGCAATTCTCTGCGCCGTGGCAGAGGTTTACATGACCGATCTGAGCTGGGAAGAGGACGCCGAGCAGCGATGCGAAGCTCTCATCACCGAGGCCATAATGCTAGCACCCGAGCTGGCCGACACCTGGCAAACCGTTGCCAATGTTCGCATCTCCCAAACAAGGGTGGACGAGGCCAAGGAGGCTTTGAGGCGGAGCATGGCACTGTGGGAACTCCTTGAGCCCGAGGATCCCAACGTGCCACAGTTTCCTACTCGGGTAAGCTTGGTCCGACTGCTGATTGAGGTTGGAATGGAGGAGAAGGCGATAGACGTCGCAGAGCGCTTGATCATTGAAGATGACCAAGCTGTGGAGGTCTGGTATCTAAGTGGCTACGGCAGATATCTTCTGGGCGAGAAAATCAAGAGCGGAGAACTGCAAGCTCCCGAGGGTGAGACATGGCAAGATATCTGGCGCTTGTCGCGCAAGTACCTTGCCCAATGCCTCCGGACATACACGGCCATCGAGTACGAAGATGAAAGGCTTGGAGCACACGCACAAGAATTGCTGGACTCCATTAGGGGTGAACTTGGTGTTGTTGGCGCTGAGGAAGATGAGGTTTGGGAAGATACAGACGTTGAGGAAGATGAAGATGAGGAGATGAGTTAAATGGCCCCAACTGGCTTCGTCTCGTTTGTCTTCTAACCATACCACCTCAAGCTGTGGCGTCTTTTTCAGGCAAACTTGTTATGGCATATTCTGGAGTCTGGTTAAGAGGGGAAAAAAAAGCAATGTTCAGGATTGGTTTTCACATGGGTTAGGTAACGTGTATACTTAGAGCGGAATAAAGCCTACAGCAAAGAATTAGATAATTTTGGCGAACGTGATAGAGGGCTTACGACTTGTCTAACGGTCCTAAACCGTGAGTTTCTGGACCTCTTCCACGGGGACGTCATCATCGCCTTCCAGGTCCTCGTCACCCTTCCCAGCCAAGCCCCTCTCCCAGAGTTGTTTACCCGTGAGCTTGACAGGCTCCTTTATCCTTGCCTTCTTCATCTCGGCCGCCTTTTCCTCTTCCTCCTTGATTCTCTGATCTTCCAGTTCCTGCAAGAAGCTCTCCCTCCACTTCAGAAAGGTTTCGCGATTGACGGGAGTGCCCTGGAACTTCTTGTTCTCTTCGCGCTCCGCGGCAAGGGCGGCCTCCTCTTGCGCCTTGATGGCAGCGTCCCTCCGCTCTACTGCCAGTTGCTCCGCAGCATCCTTCAACGCCGACACAACAGTAAATATCATGGCCATCCCCAAATTCTCTTCAATTGTGTCTTGGATACCTTCGAGCAGCTGGAACCGATCGTCGGCAATGTTTATGTACTGATGGGGCGGCGCATTTGGGGCGGACGCAAGCTCAAGGAAAGGTGGCTTGTCGGGATAGTCTTCGGGGTACCGTACGGTAAGTACCATGCTTGGTGTTTCTTCGGCATTATCATCAGGAATATCCAGCGTGATAGTAATCCGGTATTCGGTATCGGAGATATCTAGACGAGTCGAGCTTGGGTTAGGACAGGCCCATGCCTAAACGGCAACCGATGTGGGCGAACAATCGAACCTTGGATCTCATCTGGGAAGATGGAGTCGAGGACTTCCCTCTCTTCAATTTGTTCTTCGCGGCCCATAATGTCCAATTGGTAGGGCGCTCTCAAGTTTGCAGTGTCTTGGACGACATAAAACGTGAAAGACTCCTTCCAAAAATGGGTGCTAGCAATGTTGACTTTCAGGCGTTTACTAACCTAGAGAAGAGGAGGGGCAACCAGACGGCACTGCAGTGACTGGAGCGTCAGGTGCAGGCCAAACTCCAAAACGCGAGCGCGGCTCAGTCTATGGTGGGGCCCTGCCTGGGTTCCTTGTTGTATCAATGGACAGTTCTAGACAGTGTCGATTCAGTCGCCCCACCACAGAACCCCGGAAAGCTCCTCACCGCCCGGCAGATACTACCAGGATGCGGATCCAGAAATTTTCAGCGGAAACGTGCTACAGAATTTCCAATTCAGAGGCTTCAGATACAGGGCACTCCAAAGTTTCGGATTCCCGTCTGAATACCTGCACTTTCATCCATTCCTGCTCGACCATTACCTTTGAACCAGCGCCCACCCGGTACGAAATTAACACAAGCCCCCCATACCTAGATCAATCCTTCATATTCCGGAGCAACACAGACATCGCATAGCATCAATGGCGACCAAGTCGTCTTCAGCAGCCGCTGCCGGCGGAAAGAGAAAGGCGTTCGGCAAGCATAACGAGGATGGCCGTACAAAAGCAGTAAAGACCACTTCTGGCAAGAAACACATCAAGGCCGAAGCCGAAGACAACGAATCCTCCGATGAAAGCTCAGACGCCGAGTTCCACACAGGAGAGACCACAACATCCACGCCCAATGAGTCCGGCAATGGCTCCAACGAGACCAAGTCTGGTACGTTGTCTCTCTTTACCATATCTGCCCCATGATGACCGAACCTTGTCTGTTATTTGACTAACACAACGCAGGCACAAGCTCCAGGGAGGCGCACGCCAAGCAAAAACAACTCGCCCAAGAACGCAAGAACGCGAAGCCACTGGCCGATGAGGTGCACCGTACCAAGAAGCTGTGGGAGAAGCTCCGTCGCAAGTCGCATGTGCCTAAGGAGGAGCGCCAACAGCTCGTTGAGGAGTTGTTCACCATCATAACTGGCCGCATCAAGGACTTTGTCCTAAAGCACGATGCTGTCCGTGCCGTCCAGACCGCCGTCAAGTACGCCACCCCGGTTCAGCGTAGGCAGATTGCGAAGGAGCTTCAAGGAACCTATGCGCAGCTCGCCGAGAGCAGGTATGCCAAGTTCCTGATCGGCAAGCTTCTGGTGCAGAACGACAAGGAGATCCGCGACATCATCGTCCCCGAGTTTTACGGCAAAGTTCGCAAGCTCATCAACCATGCTGAGGGTTCCTGGATTCTGGACGATGTCTACCGCGGAGTTGCGACTAAGGAGCAAAAGGCCAACCTCCTTCGCGAGTGGTACGGTCCCGAGTTTGCTCTGTTTAGGCAACCCAAGGGTACCGAGGTCACTGGCGATCTCTCCAAGATTTTGGCTGACGAGCCCAGCAAGAGGACAACGGCGATGAAGTACCTTTTTGACATGGCCAATGGCCTCATTCAAAAGAAAATGACTGGTTTCACCATGCTCCACGACGCTCTGTTGCAGTACTTCCTCAACCTTAACCCCGAAAGCGAAGAGTTCAAGGAGTTCTTTGAGACTATTAAGGAGGATGAGACCGGCGACTTGCTCAAAAACATGGCATTCACCAAGTCTGGCGCCCGCCTCGTGTGCTTGCTCCTTGCGCACGGAACCGCCAAGGACCGTAAGCAGCTGCTCAAGGCTTACAAGGACACCTACCAGCTCATGAGTGGTGACAATCACGCGCACGCGATCATCCTCGCCGCCTACGATCTCCTTGATGACACTGTCCTCACGTCTAAGACGATCTTCTCCGAGATTCTTGGTAAGAATGAAGAGAAGGATGCCGAGCACGTCATCTTTCTCGCTAACGACCTCAACGCGCGCACGACGGTATTATATCTCTTTGAGGGAATGTCCAAAGCGTTGTTCCCTGCCAGCCACGCCACCGACCTGGAGATTCTGAAGGAGATTCACGAGATCCGCACCAAGACCAGCAAGAAGGACGCCGAGGTTAGGCGTAAGGAGTTGGTGACAGCCATGTCGCCCCAGCTCCTTGCGGCCATCGCAAGCTCACCCGCCGACCTGGTGGCCACCTCTTTCGGTTGCCAGTTTGTTACTGATGTTTTGCTTTCGGCGACTGGAGATAAGAAGACCGCGTTGGAGGCTATTGCCTCTACTGCTGGTGGCGATCCCAACGCTGAGGCGCCCAAGGATGCCTACCAAGCCCTCCCCCCTCACATCTCGACAACCATTCACGGTGGTCGCATGTTCAAGACACTGATTGCTGGCGGCCGGTTTGACAAGGCCACGGGCAGCATCCAGAAGGTCGACCCCCCGCTCAACTTCGCCGATCTTCTCTATCCCGTCATCAAGGACCACATTGTACAATGGGCCACCGGCCCTAGCTCTTGGACGGTGCTAGCTATGCTCGAGGCTTCCGACTTCTCGTCGAAGAAGGAGCTCCTCAAGACCCTCAAGTCCAACAAGAAGGCTCTTATCAAGGCCGCAACCGAAGCACCGGCGTCGAAGAAGGAGGAGATGGAGGAGAAGCCAAAGGCTAAGAAGGGCAAGAATGCCTCTGCCCCCAAGGGCAACCAGGGCTCGAAGCTTCTTTTGGAGAAGCTCGATGCCTAAGTTGAGGAAGTTGTAGGCGTCGCATGGCTATAGTGACAAAAGTGGACGGTAGCCACAGGTTGACTAAATACCCCTTTTATGTTGTTTACTTTGTCAATGCGATTTTGTTGGGCCCCGTGTAATTTGCGGTTGACTGATAGCCCTGTTCACAAGTCTGGACTTGATATATATGATTGTATAGAGAAAAGCTTGCTTCCAGACTTCCCTGATGGCTCAGATATGACGCTTGAAACAGGCCGTGGCCTCCTTGGAGTGGAATACATCATAATCTAACCAGACAGGAGTGAGACAACTTTCTTATATTCGCCATTCCGGACCTTGGAAAGCTTTATTATCATATGACCTTCACATTGAACCACTTGTACCACAGATCTCGAGGGACCGGACAACCTCCCCATATCAACATGGCGTGTAGAGGCAAAGTGCTGTGCAAACATCTTGACTGCGGTACCAAGACCGACATATATCGGGTTCACCGTCACTTGATGGTTAAGTGCCGCTTGGAAATTGAATGGAAGAACGGAACTGCCTCAAGGCTACACCCGTGCAAGGCCGCGTATATCCTTGTGCACCGGCCAGCTCACCGAGCGACCATCGTCTGACGGCCTTGCCATATCTGCTGTTCTGGTAGGTAAGACGAGGGTTTCCGAACGGGCAGCCAGCCATGGGTGTCCTCGGTTTGCGTTCCGCCAGGCTTGGAAGCCTTCTTCTCTTTTCGTCGAGATCACATGAGGCGCGAGGCCAGACATCTCGATTCGTTGGCCGGGTTGGAGTTGACGAACATATCGAATTACCACTTAGTGTCCGTAGCTTATTTCATCCCAACAGTCATACCATAAGGGGTATCTGCGCTCCCTGAACCCCTCCCAGATTCCCAGGCACCAGTGGGGAGACCGCGGCTGGGGAAACATACAAGTGTCGTTTCCTTCCCCAGGTTGCCGTCGCTTGCTCTTTCCACTTTGGTGGTTCGTCCCTCCACCGCTATCTACGAGTGCCACTCCCTCTTGCTGTTTGCTCTCCCCTCTTCCTTTCCTTCAACTCTCCATTCCACTTTCTTCTTGCTCGAGCCGATACCTTCCCTTCCATTTCAGCTCAGCTGTAGTTGTCACTGTTTCGCCGTCGCCACCGCTTCCAACGCGGGCTTCGAACTCAACCTCGGACTATTCTGTACCCAAACGCCTTCCTCACCATCCATTCTGGACAGGTTCCCAGGCACGACCAGTCTCTCTCACCCGACCGAGTAAGAACCTCGAAGCCATGGCATTGGATTTGTCCAGGAGGCCTCCTCGCGTACGCCTCCCTGAAGCAGCCCCGTTGGTCGCTCAGAGGGATGGCGGAAACTGCCCTAAGGGTTACCAATGGTACACATGCAACGTGGCCCAGGGAATTCCCTATGCTGGCTGTTGTGCGATGGATCCCTGCCGCCCGGATATGGTCGACTGCCCTGATCGGTATAAACCTGGTGGTGAAGATGCCACGGCTACCATAACAAAAACTGCCACTGCCTCTGCCTCTGCCTTTACCAGCACGGAATCTGACAAAGAGCCATCGTGGACAAGCACGACTTCCGACACTTCCTCGGCAAGCACCATTAGTAGTGCTTCATCAACCCCCAGCGCCACGGTCACTGCCACTCCCGATGCACCGCCCATTGTAGTCCACAAGGAACTTTCAGCTGGCGCCATAGCGGGAATTGCAGTAGGCTGCTCCCTGGCCTTCATCTTCTTCGCCATCTCAGTTTGTATGTGGTGGGGCCGACGACGAGCGAAGAAAGATGAGAAAAAGGACGCCATGGAAACTGCAAACGTTTCGTCGTTCCTGGGCCCAACCGACCGAAGCAACCCAGCCGAAACGACACAAGATAAGAACGTATCCCAGTCTGGTTCCCATTTCCCGCTTGGAAGCTACCAACCGGTTCCCACACGTGTTCCTTGCGAGTATAGAGGACAAGGTAAGCGAACTCCATCCCCCGAGCAACAGACGTAACGCAGTCGCAGTGGGCCAGCAGGGGTTTCTATGTTGACCAAAACTCTAGATGCGACAAGCTCGGGATCCCCAACCAACACGAACTGGCCAGGCTCGCCGATGGACTATGAAAGTCACCGTTTCAGCGGAGCGACGACCATGTCGACACCAGCGAGTCACAATAGTGCAAGCACTCCGGCCAGCCCGAACTACCCATCGCGAAGTGCTTCGGGACTCGACTCAACCCAGGCGTACCAGCAGGGTGGATGGGGCAAAAGGTTCGAGCCCATGCACGAAATCCCCGAGCTTGAAAGCAATGAGAGGCCACCGCAACACATCCGGGGCCCGAACAACTAGAGCACTCCATTGGATTGAGCAAGGACACACGATGGCTTGATTCTGAAGTCGGTGAGCGGAAGGGTTTCATGAGAGCCTACAACGTCCTGCCACACAAGAGACGCTGAAGAACGCGATTAGCTTCCACGAGAGAAGCAATTCCAAGCACGAAACGCTCTTGAAGGAACGGGATATGCTCGAGCTTCATGACTGATTCGGGCTATTAATCTAGGCACATCAATGACGCAGGTGACGTGAAGGACACTTACTCCGACTCACCAGGATAATGTCCTGGCCCTCATCTTGCCTGGAAAAGAACCAATTGCTATGGGATCACCCGAGCGAAGGACTGGAATACCGTGGTAAACAAGAAATGATAGATGGTCTATTGATCAAAAAGCGGCTCTTAGACGCCAAACCATGCATTTTTCCCCCTTCCGTAACCAGTCCTGACAACCATGATCCAGCTTGGTGACCCCTTAGTCTTTTTTTTTTTTTTTTTTTTGTCAAAAAATCACCGGTTTCCCACACTGTTCGGTCATCTCCCAGGCGAGCAAGTTATGCAGTGTGTCGTAAAGAAAAAACTGAGCAGATAGAAACAGAGGAGAGGAACAAAAGAAGCAACCCAACCCGCATTACCAATTGCTGTCCTACAAAATGACTCTCTCAGGTGTGCCCTCCTAGGTGCTCATGAGCTTGGCCATCTCGTCCAGCAATTCTTGTAGCTCATCGTCGGTGATCTTGTCCGCCAGGGAAGGGATCAGCGTCTTGCACTCGTCGGCACTATCGCAACAGAGTGAGCCTAGATAGCCAACCACAAAAAGAGTCAGTCAGTCGCATCGTATCACTTCCCTTTGACTAGGCAACCATACCAATCTGCGCCCTCTCGAACTTGGTCAGCTCCTTACGCGCGCTCAACAATCTCTCCACGGCCTCGACGTTCTCCTTCTGCTTAAACCGCGCGAATGCGTCCAGGTAGTCGAGCGTCTTGTTCAGCACGTCCGTCTCGTTCCGGTCCTTGCGGTCCTTGCGACGCTTGGTCATGAGCGCGTTGATGACGAGGGAAGCCTCTGAGAGGGTGAGCGTGTCCACGTCCTGAAACTCGCCCAGCTTCAACACCGCCGAGGCTTCCTCCTCGCCGGGAGGGGGCGGCTTGGAGCGCGAGGTAGGGGCGTGGTGTTGGTCCGACATTATTTTAGGTTGAGGGTTCGTTCGTTCGTTCGTTCCTTCGTTCACTTGTTCACTTGTGCGTATTGTTTGTTGGTTTTGTCATCTGGTGATGGGAGCGTGCGCGCCGCTGGCTGGCTGACCTGGCGTTCTGGAGAAGAAAGACGGTATTCGGATTGATGCACTCGCTACCGGGAGGGAATTTGATCCAGATTGCCGGTTCGTTTGGCCGGCAGTGTGAGCGTCTTGGAGATTCTTGTCTTGTTTGCGGCGCCTTCGACGTTGGGGTTCTTGTGGGCTTGAGTCCTGCTGAGCCTTCCAAGCTACGGTTGTTGCGCTCGAGTGTTGGTGGTGGTACTGGCTGAGCTGTTCGAGAACGAAGGCGCTGTATTCGGTGATTCGAGGAAACGTATGCTTGATGTATCAAGGTGGTCGTCGGCTCGTACTTTTGGCAATCAAGATTTGGCGTTGAATGGTTGAGGTTGTTTGAGCACCTGGACGGAATTGTCACTGGGAGGTTCCAGGTTGGGGGTCTTTGTTTGCCGGCCGTGGTCCCTGTGCGGCACTGCGTTCACTGTACAAATGGTACCGACAGAACAACATCATGCTAACATGCACTACACAGCGTAAGATACAGTTATAGGTACATATTTCGTCAAACGAATTGGCATCAACATCACTAACATCTACAATGCACTCCTGGCTGTTAGCTCGAGACCTCGGGTCAACACGTGTCCAGGCGTTTCCACATCCACTTTATACTATACGTAGTCATATGTTCAATCAAGTACTGGTATCCATGTCTGGCTGATAATTCTGCAAGTCGAAGTATCATTACGGCTTTGAGGACGGGTTGGCACCAACGAGTCTCACTCAGTCCGCAAACCAAGCTGATAAACAAACCAGTATCGGACTGTACAAAACGAAAGAGGGTCATGTTTACAGCTTACCTTTGTTTATAACTCATCCCAACTCGAACTCTGGTATGAGACTGATGTTGTATTTTCATCTTTTTCCTTTTTCGTTTTTTTTTTTTTTTTTTTTGTATTGAGCCAAAACCTACGCTTAGTCATGTTTTCATATTTATATCTTTTGTTTTCTACGTTCTGCGTGGAACATCTGGGAACTGGTGGGTATTCTATGCCGAACCAAGCGCTTACATCCATCCCATCGTAACATGACACTCGGCGCTCTGCCCTGCGGACGGAACGAGAAGGACATAATGGTTATTTAACATACGAGTTACTCTCCCCTTATCGTCCAAGGCTGGCTGCTCCCTGGGCCCTTTGTTTCACTTCCGCTTCGTTCCTCACGTTCGCCCTGCCTTCTTCATGGGATCTTGGAAAAGTCGATGTGCCAAACCGGGCGTAGCTCTTCATGACTGCTACTTTCCCCGCAAAACTGCCTCCCAATGCATCCCTGACCTATATGTGTCCTCAATTCTCAACCCGGCTATCCGTCTCGCTCTTCCTAAAGACGCCATCATGCCCCAGGCCTCGACAAGTCGAGCACGAACAAACCAGAACCGCGAATGCTCCCAGTCAGACTGTAGAACGAGAGGCATAATAGCCTCAGCAGTTGTGTGAAGGGAATCCCTATCACATCCATCCCCCCGCCTTCATCATTCTGCCTACAACGCGGAAAAGACAAATAGCTGTGGGAAAGATGGTTAGCTATCAATAGGGCCCAGATTGAGGATGCGGTCAAGAACTAGCGGGGCAAGAACTTACGTTGTTGGTTGCTGCGATGGCGATGCTGTCCTCGAACGGATGCCAGCTCATATGGAGAATCTTCTTGTTGAAGTCGATTTGGTCGGCGTCTGTCTCTTTACGCATCCTTTGGCCCTGGCCTGCCGCTGCCGGGCTTCCTGCCCGTGAATTTCCCTTCTTACCACCGTTAGCTGTAGGACTTGTCGACGAATTAATGGGTGTCGGCACCCCAACTTTCTTGGCCTTGAACGCCGACTTATCCGCTTGCAGGACGACCTCCACCTCCTTGTCGGGATCCGATGGGTAGATCATGAAGTTGTTGTTGTAGCTTCCTGTCATTACGTTCTTGGCGTCTCCAGAGAATACAACCTCGAATTTGTCAAAAATGCTGTCATTTTCGTATGTGTCGCAGAGTCTCGGCCTGAGGTGTTCATGGATTGGGATCGTCTTGACTGGCTGCCGCTCCATGTTGACATCCCAAATCTTGACCGTCAAGTAGTCGCGAGAAAGGATATACCGGCCGTCGTGGGAGAATCGAACGTCGGAGATGGAAGATATGATTTCAGAGAAGAAAGATCGGGACGATGGGTCTTCTTCTTGTTCGAACACTGTACAGGGAAGAAAAAACGAATTGTAAGCAATGATCAGCGGTGAATAGAGATAAAAAATAACAACACTTCAAACACAGTTCACCGAAATCCAACGTACTCTTTGCGTGCTGGTCGCACAATGCCCTTTCGCGCATATCTGCCAGCTTGATTGTGCCCTTAGAGCTGGCATACATGAACCAGTTGCAGCTCAGAGGGTGGAACTCTGCGGCCGTAATGACCTCTGTCAATTCCTCCATGTTCGCCGGCTTGATGTCCACAATGTTGAAGCTCTGGTCTTGGATATTCAGATTCCATAGGTTGATCCGCAAATCATCACTGCTGATGAAGGTCTCGCCATCGCTGTTGACGGAAATGCTGTTGATGTGGTACGCATGAGCATTGGCATATGTTCTCCGAGGCACGGCGGCAACGACTGTGTCGTGATGGGTAAGCCTGGGTAGCTTGAGATCGGCGGGACTGCGAAACTGAGTATGAGGCAAGGCACGAGGTGCGCCTCCACCGCCGGCTACGCTTGCAGGCGTCAAATCATGGGAGAGGTTGTTCTCGGCGACAACCTTAAGCGACTTCTCGAACACCTTCCATAGCTTGATCGTCTTATCGTTTGTCGAGAGGAGGTAGTGGGAGGCATTTTGTCTCCTGCACCACTTGATTTTATTGATCTTTTCCTCAATTTCAAGGGACTTGAGGTAGTCGAACTCGGGCTCGTGGGACTGAAATTCGGTATGAAACTTGTATTCGCAGGTTTTTTTCTGTCGACAGGTAAGCAAGACATAGACAAGAGGCGGGCCAGCAAATGAACCGGAAGGGAAAGGGGGGGGGGTTTGCCGCAACTCCACTAACCGTCTCGTTCCGTTCAAATAGCACGACTCGTCCACCCTTATCACCAGTCGCCAAGTAGTTTCCGGTGTGGTCAAATTCTACCGTGGAAATGATATCGGCTGGTAAAGGCGGGTCAGTATGGCTGAGGGTATTGATGACGTGAGGAGGGGCATTGACGGGCTCCTGGTCAAGGGACCTGTCGTGGGAGGAGGGGTGGGTCGTACCTTCGGTGATGTCCTCAACATCTCCCTTGTCGCCGAAGCATCTATGACAAGATCTCAGTACGATGAAGTGGGGCAAACGCAGGAAAATGAGGCGACGTCTCGTGTAAACAAGAGCGTTGACGGAGAAAGGCGTAGGTCAACGTGGAGCGGAGATCGGATCCAGCCGCGGGCGCGGGTACGGGCACAGGGACAGGCACGAGCGCAATCGCACAGAGACGGACGCTCGCGAGGCAGAAGTCGATGGGGATGGAAAACAAGACGGAGGGGCAAGGAGGAGTTCGACTTACTGGGTAAACTTCCATGTCGGAGAGTTGGTATCTGTTTCCACCATCTTCAACGATTCCCGGGGCCGTGGGCGATGAAATCCCCACCTCTACCAGATATGGGACAAGGGCGACGAGCGGACAGAGGGACAGACGGGCAACGACGGCAAGGGACGACGTTCCTAAGGGCGATGATGGACAAGAAGAGATTTCACGAGCTCGAGGCGCGAAATCAAGGGATGGCGGAGAGACGGGAGTTGGAGATCTGGAGAGAGGTGCCCAACAGAGACCGGGTTAAAACACGTGGGTGCGCTATGGATGTTGTTGCAGGGAGCATATGTATGGATGAAGGTAAGGGTCGGTCGGGTAGGGAAAGACGGGAGGAGGGCAATAAGCAAACTTGGTAGGTGTTGAGGTAAGGTATGTAATGTACCTGGCTGGTGGGCGGTCGGGTGTGGTGGAAGCAGAGCCCGACCCGAGTGGTAGTAAGATACGTAGGGCGACGAAAGGGAAGCAGACGGAGGTACGCCGGTAGCGCAGCGAGGTACCTAGGTAGCTGGGCGGAGGAGGACCTGATGGGGCCCGGGATGGAGGGTGTGAGGCTCAACGGCCAGACGTGAAACTACCTAAGTAGTAGTGCAGCGATGAAGCGATTGAGGTGCGAACCTGAACCCAACTGAGAGAGTGTTTTTTTGCCGCAGCGACGAGACCTGGACAACTGAAGACTATGGGCGCCGACCGAGCGATAATCTGTCGTTGCTTCCTGGAGCTGACTACCTCTGGACGTGGGCCGGTTTCCTGTTCGTGCTGCAGGTGCGCAAAGCCAAGTGAAGATGCGGGGTACGTCAAGCCGAGTGCTGTATGCGGATATGGCGTAAAGTGTTGTTGGTGAAGGGTCAGGTTCCTTGTTGCCTTTGCAAGATTGAGCAAAAGACGGATGGTGGATGGGGATGGAGATAGATGGGCCGAGATGTGGGAAGGAGCAAGCAAGGACGCCCTCATCCTTGCCAGGGAGTTAAGCTTTGGCGATTGAAGGGAATGACGAGCTAGTCAGTTAGCGAGGTACGGAGTGGGCACGGGGTGGATGGGCGGGCGATGAGGTACCCTTTACTACCTGCTAGGTAGGTACGTATGGTGGTAAGGTTGGCCCCTCCCTCCTCAACACAGGGGCATGGGGGCCCGTCAGCCCGTGCCCTCCATGCTCGCCGCCCGTACTGTAGGTGCAGTTCTCAGTCATCCCCTGCGGCCAGGCCTGCTCGGTGAATGGAAGATCTCGTCCAATACCTAGGGCCGAGCAGCTTCCACCAGTGAGCAATTGCGGGGTCCATTTCATCCCGGGCGGCGACGAGATGGCATCTGCCATGTACAACTACGAGGTAGGCTCGTAGGTATATACCTACCTAGGTAGTATCAACCTCTGCGCTAGGTATTGGGTGATGGTATACGGGCATCTACACCGGAAAGGCACACTCGCTTTGTGCCCGCTGACTAGCTGTTGAACTTGGACGTATGCTATGGATCAAGAGCGCACTTTAAGTTGACCGCATACGTCTTGAATAGCTCATAGCAAAGTGTGGTCATGACCCGGCCTCTTAGCAGCGCTGAGATCCGTCTCTGGATCCCATGATGGCATCATGGCTTTATTGTGCCCATGGCATGTGTTGGCGTGTGGTCCCGTCGCTAATATCTCTTGAGCCTTGCCATCCAATCGAACGGCCCTCACGGGTGCAGCTGCAGCTCTTTCAGCTTCCGTCTTTTGTTCACAGGTACATATTCCATCAGACATGACCGGGCTGTCTAGTTCGCGACTGGACGGAAAAGTTTGGCGGGTCTGATATCCCTGTTACATGATAGATGTCATTCAATTTGAGGAGTATAAACTCCCCTGACGCTGCTGTAGCCTCACGGCCATGTCGAAACGCACATGCTGCATGAATCACCCAAAAAAGCACGTGTAATGTACTGGCTCGCCTTGAAACTTCGGGGCCTAGGTCTGACGTTGCGGATCTGCCGGGGAGCCGGGACTATATAAGTTACATGATATCCACCCTCCCTCGGTCCGCATCATTGCTCGGACCTGGCCACGGCATCCTTCGTCTTCTTGGACTTTTGACAGGTCATAGGGCCCCCACCTATTGATGTTGGGCAGCACGTTGCCGGTCCTTGCTTTCCCTCCATCTCTTCCTTCTTATTATCATCTCATCGGTACGGCTCTTGTAACTCGACTCTCCCGCTTACACATCGATCTCAGCCCATCACTAGATTTATATGCACCCACCAATCTCATTGTGAGGTTGAAGATGGAGCCAATGCCTGAAAAGGCCAAGGGTAAAGGAAAGGATATTGGGACGTCGGAGGAATCAGTTGGTGCCGGTGATATAGGCCACAATGGGCAGACCGGGGGCGGGGACGATCTGCTTGCCCGCATCGCCAAGTCAGCAACATCACTACCTTCAGCTTTGTTCTCCAAAGGTAACATGGCCGGCGCAGTTTCGGGACTAGGCAACGGCGAGAAGGGAGAAGGCTCACGATCGGCGGCAACAGTGGCAAGGGCTACGGAAAATCTCGAGCGCGTGGGTGAGAGTTCTGCCCCGCTTCATTCTGCCTCTCATGGCGGCGAGACCATCAGATCAGCCCAGATTCAGGGCCATGTTGCGATGCAAGAGGCTTCTTTCGCCGCCTTTCTTGACACCACCGAGCCTCTTACGGCGCCCGAAGGAGCAGGCGTACTGGAAGGGGCGTGGAATATGAGAGGCAATGTTCCGAGTTCGACAGTACCAGCAACAAACAACCAATGGACTCATTCTTTTCCGGCATCCACTGTCGCCGAACAGGAAGCGCGCGATGGCCAGGAAGTTGTAGCATTGCTCCGGGGTGATCTGGATCTGGATGCAGAGCTCGCAGGGCCGGAGGAGAATACAATATTGCCCGATGACATGGCCAGCTTGCGCAAGGCTTTATTCGGAAACGACGATCTCGGCAGCAGCTCATCGCCTATTGCGTGGGATCATGCGCTCAACTTCATCCCACTTTCCCTGCTGGGGTTCGACAGTGTTTCGACGGCGCCAAGTACGAGAGATTTGTTGGGTACGGCCGACGTGACTGAGGGCTGGGAGACATGGATTGATCAGTGGTCTCGCGTGTTAACCGGCTATCACGACGAGATTTGGGGTGACCTGGGCGCACTGGTGGAGGAAGCGAAGAAGGAGGTAAAACAGCTAGAAGAAGTCAAGCCAGGCGAAAGACCACCGGAGCCAACAGCTCTCTTACGGCTTCGCGCCATCCTCGGACATTTGCGGGGAGCATAGCGAGGCTAGGCGGCATCCGGACAATAGTTACGACCCCGTTCAACAGCAGTCCCAGCTCAGCGGCCACGGGCACGTGGATTGTGTGTTTTCGCACGGGCACTGAAATGACTGAAGCTCCGTCGTGTACTCGCCATCTCGGCTGCTGGGAGTTGAAGTAGTCGGCATCACGGAGAAGAACAGCAAGCATCAAAACTTCATAAGGGATGCTGCACTCCTGATCGCTGCTGCAAAAACCTCTCGAAGCCTTTTGCTAATCAGCATGGGTGACAGGCAGGTCATGGGTTGTATCATGGACTGTGTGTATCTTACACACCTGCTGGGCTACCCCGTGTTGTATGTGCTGTGGTAGCGGTGCTAAATTGCTGAGCTGATGCGGCCAACAAATGGCATCACTGAACGTTACACAGGCGGTGGAGGGAGATGGTGAAGCTATTGTCTACTGCATTGTAGATCAATAACTCTGGGCACCCTTTTACACACACCAGAGAATGAATGCCTTTCAAAAAGGAAGATGTTGTTATCCAATACCTGAGGGCTTACCTCTAGCGCAGACAGTGCATACTCAATGTCATATTCACACCCTTGTATCATATCTTTGCGCAATCCTTGCTTACTTCAATCGGTGGGAGGAAGGTTAGCTTACACAATCGTATAGCATGTATCAAGGACACAGCATTGATCAACATCGTCCTACTACAATTAAATACTTTTTTTTTTTTTTTTTTAAACGGCAGTGGGTACTAACTCGTGGTTTTTATGTCGAAATCTACCCGAGCGATCCCAAACGCGTATGAAGACGCATTGAATGTATTGACGAGATATAATATGACATGTTTAGTAGTCGGAATAGGCATATTCAGGCTGAAGCAGACTTCAATCATGGAACGCGATGTACATAGGAAAACGCTTAGGGAAGTTGACCCGAGATCTCGAGCTAGCAGACAAGCCAGTAATGGACTGCAGATCCTTTACTTAGTTAGCAGCATGATATTCTTTACGGTTTTCGGTGACGGGAGACGGTCTTGCAAGCATCAACAAGCAGCGCGCTTGCTCGCAGCTGAGATGTGCCAGCGCAACCAGCAGTCAGCCCGCTGTGGTGGTGGGCTCGCCAAGTCCTATCACGCCGTACCAATCACGATTTCCAGCCTCCCGGGTTCCATGAATGAGCAGGGTTGCATCTCGGTTTTGCATATACGCAGGTTTCCCACTTGGATGCTTCCGTCTGAAACTCAATTACACTCTTCCTCAAAACTTCAGTGAGTTGCTTGCTGATGCTGACCGACTTCATACCTACGGAAGCCTCCGTCATCGAGTAAGAGTCACAGAGACCGGACGGGCTGATAGCACGCTCATCTCCAGCTCAGGTCTTATTGAGCCCTTTCGAACCACATTCCTCTTACCAACTTTATTTGGTCCAACTTCGGAATAGAGACGGGATTTGCCGCCATGGGTAATCAGCAATTACATTCCCGTTTTGGGACAACATGGCAAGCCTTTGTGCTTTCCTTCCTGGTCTTCTCGTTATCGCAGTCGCCCATCGTCCACGCGCAACAGCCATTCATGCCGGTTGAAACAGCGAGGGCACTCAGCGGCAGCACACTCGAAGGCAACGTCCTGGAAAAACGGCAGGGATGCATCTCCAACTTCTTCAGCTGCTCGGGAGTAGGAGCTGCTTTCAGCGACGTATGTTGCCAGTACGGCTACACCTGCGCGCTTGATCAGAACAACCAACCGGCTTGCTGTCCAGTAAAGTGTGTAAACGACAATAGTTATATTGTTGTCATAGGAGAAGCTGACTAACACCTCCCGCCAGCGCCATCTGCACCGGCACCGCCCCAGCCGGCGTCGCCGCCCCCAGCCCAACCGCGCCGGTTTCCTTCGTCGCCAACCCTTACTTTTCCTTCCCCTACGTCGCCACATACTTCCCGGATGCCGAGCAATGCTCTTCAGCCGTCAGCCAATGCAGCGCCAATTACGTTGCCTGCAGCGACAAGCTGGACGGGCTAGGCGGTCAGTACGGTGTCACCATTGTGGTGCCCGGTGGCGCGGGAACGACCGTGGGCGTTAATGTCGGGACCACGGTCGGGCTTGAGAGTGCTTCTAGGATTTGTAAGTCCCATTCACCTCCTTGCCTGGACCTCGAACACTGTGGTGATGAATCGGACATTTCGCTGACTGTTTTTGTTCATCCTTCCTTGCAGGCAGCAGCTTGTCAAGCGTTGCTTGCCACGGTCTGGAGAATAATATGTGCTCTATGACCGCCACAACCGCCAGTGGCTTCTACTTTGGCACGGGTGCCCCTAACAGGGCATCCTCGCGCAGAGGCTTCACCGGCCTTCTTGTCGCTGCTGGTGTGGTGGCGACGGTGTCGGCTCTTCTCTGATTCTGCGCTCTTTGGAGGGGCGCTAACCCCTAGCAGTATTGCGCAAATCGGTGACGGACACTTGAGTGGAGAGTAACGAATGGAGTGATCAGAAGTGTGAAGGCCGGAATTTCTCCTTCTCTTTGCGAGTGATGATGTCAACGAAGCCATGGATGATATTAAGAAGCCATAGGATTATTCTGTCTTGATCTGCACGTATGCAATCATGATCAGTAACGTCTCGAATATATAAACGATTCGCAAAATTGACGGGGCATGGAGAAGGCTGTTGGAGACATTGATTGAAAACCAAGCAGAAAAGGGTCACAAAATCGAGTGCAGTGAAGTCACGTCAAGACGGAAATTGAGCGCCCAAAATATACATCGCAATGCATGAAGCCAAAGCAAACCCGTCGCACAGAAACAATAAAAAAAAAGACACATCTCTTCATGTACTCTGTCACATAGCAACTTTGGTAGTCGCTTGTGTACGCCATCGCTAAACTCTCAGAACCATAAAGCTATGTAACCGTTTTTTGATATCCAATTCAGCTGAGAGCGCAAAGGGCAGTGGAAAGCCACCAAAAAAATAAAAATGAAAAAAAGATAACAAAATAAAAAAGGGAAGGAAAGGAAACAAAAGGAACATGTGGTAGCCGAGCTAGCTCCCCGCTCTTTTCTTTCATTTTATAGCCCTGAGTACCGCGATGTGTTCCCTGTTTGACTGCTCCCCCGCGAATTGTCACGCCCAATTATCCCAACCTCCGCCACGCTGCCCAACAGATCAGGCTCGTGACCCTGCTCGACCCTGTTTACGTTACCTTGATTTACAAATCCGTAACTCTCATTCAGCCCTGATCCCGTTCTGGATCCTGCGTAGGCATCACCAGAACTTAGATCCTCGCTTACACCAATCGAGGAGCTAGACAATCTTTTTTGCGAATTGGTGCGTTCGAACGGAAGGCGTGCAGAGACCGCCAGTGACGAAGCGGGCCTGGCGTTTTGAGGACCAGATTCTAGGGCTGGCTGAGCGGGAGGTGTGTTGCTAACGGAGCCGTTGCGTGTGTGGTGGTAAGAATTGCGTTTTGAGCTTCTCCGCGGCGGCGAAAGAAGCGGTGACGGGCCGTTATCCTCGTTCGAAGTCCGATTACCGCGGCGGGTAACTGTTTGGGTCCTACTCGACTGGCTAACTGTCGCGAGGTCTGGCTCAGCAGGCAAACCTTCCGAGTCGTGATATGTTTCCGTGTCGTCTCGCATATCATCATTGGTACCCTCTGCTGCCCTAAGGGGCACCGCCTCTGCTGCTGTACGAGCTGCTGTGTCCCGATCTGCATTGGCCTGCCTCACATTGTCCTCTTCGTCGGATTCAATCGGGCCGTTACGGATGACTCCCATCGCCACTGGTATTCCTTCCGGCGGGGATTCGTCCTCGTAGTCGACCGCTCCGGTACGCATTGCTGGTGGCATACGCGCACTCCTCACTACTTCGAAGCCCTTGCCCTTTTCCTTGCTATTTCTACCGAGAATATTCCGAAGCCACCCAGCCGCCGAAGCCATTGGCCCGGTTGGGTCAGCCGGCCCGGTTCCGAGCTTGCGGCTAGGCGCGTCCGAGTTGAGCCTTTCCCCCCTGAGACCGTAATAGTAATCAACTTCGCGAGTGGTGTAGTCGGTCCTTGGTGGATACGCAATCATATAAGGACCGGGAGTGGCACTTCTCGACGTTTGAGGGTCGAATTCCGCGGTGTCGTTGAGCGGTACTCCTGATTGACTTAGGCGTTTCTGTGACCAGTCGGCGCTAGTCCACGAACCACCTGGTTTGGCACCGGGAGAGTACGCGCTTTCAGTGGTGGTGCGCCTTCGAGGTGGTCTGAAGTAGGGGTCGACAGTCGGCATGCCGAATGCGCTAGGAGACCGTCCTTGGGGTTGGGCAGAAGCTGCAAAGGAGAACGAGTTAGCTTCTCCAGGCGTAGTCGGCGTGAATGACCCATTGTCAAGATTTCGAACGGCCGTGTTGAGACTGACGTCCTCAAGCACAGACGAGCTATGACGGTGATGCTTCGTCATGAGCCCCATACTCCCTGCCAACTCGCTCTGCATGCGGCCTCCGTTCATCACATAACCGGCCTTGAAGGTCTCATCCGTGTCGAGCATCGCCGCGCTAGACAGTTGACTGTGGCTTATGGGGCCGCCAGCACGCCTGGGCATACGACGCGACAACTGTCGCATACCGAAGATCTTGGATAGCCCGCCCCTCGATTGCCCTCGAACATCATCTCCACCAGCCCCCAACAGCCGCGCTACGACTTCGACAATAGTTTGGACTGCGTTCAGGAAGAATCCCAGAACAAGAACGCCCGCATGGACAACAAGTATAGCGTAGCCGACCCAGCCCTTAAGCCCTTCTTCAACCTCCAGCGACGGTACAAAGGCCACCATCATGAGTATGGAGACGAGACGGAGCCCAGAAAAGAGGGTATGGTAGGCGTTCATCGATGTTGGTGAGTGGAAAGGGCGAAAGGCATGCAGGGTCAGTATCTGAATAATCTCGCAGATGGCGAGGAGGACCACCTGGGCAACTCCAGCAGGCTGAACAGCTCCGATGGCAATGCCTCGAAGAAAACTCAAGAAAACTGGTATAAGAGCGAAGGCCGCCGCCTCATCAGAGTAAGTGTTGTAAAGAGGTCCATAAAGAAGCACCGTAGGGAGGTCATCGAAGAGGAACGCTCTTGGCCTCGAGGTGGCGATGAGGTGAAGCAGCCAAACGGCAAAGCCAATGATGAGGACCAAAGTTACAACTGCCAGTGCGACTGTGTAAGCTGGCGAGTGAGTTGCTACCACCAGTTGAAAGGTCGAGAGAGCAACAATCGGTAGCAGGAAGTAGTTCAAGACAAGTCTGACGACATTGCCCAGAGTAAACGGGAGGTTCTTGTGTCGGAGATCTTCCTCGGGAACCTTTCTAACGGAACGATATAGCCACTTGACCAAAAAGGCTCCCTGGGTAAGAACAAAAACGGCTCCGATAATGGCCATTAACCACACCATCATTCCGGCCCAGACGTCTTCGACCTCCCCTACTCCCACCAAGTGAGCAAGTCGCTGAAGTCCGTACTTGCCCTCGGTAAAATAAATGCCATCCCGCAGGCTTATCCACCCGGGACTGTCGCTCACAAAGCTCTGATTAAACATTAGTGCCGACCATGAGCCCTGGCTAACGATCGGTTGGTAGAAGCCTGGATAGTTGAGGGTTAGGCCGCCAGTTAGCACGACGAACTGTATGTACTGAAGACAATCTCCAAACCCTGGCGTAACCAAACGCAGCAGGTCGGGGTCACGGCCGTAGTTAGATGTCCAGTGGAAAACATCGCTGGTACCCCACGGACTAAAAATGGCAGCAAAGATGGTGGCAACTCCGACAAAGACCAGGACTATTAAGGGCAGGAACTTGAGCATCCAAGCCAGGTTTCCTAGGTCAGGTGTCACGGTAGCCGAGACACAGCCGATCTGGGTATTTCCAGAATCTCCATAAACGATGGAAAACTCGGAGGCAAAGGAGCTGAAGGCATAGGATGAATAGAAGTCTTTGGTGTAAGTCACATAGGGAAGGTCCTCCCTGTTGGTGCTAAGATCACAGTCAGCAAACGAACTCCAAAAAGTACAAGGCCAAGTGTCGAACCCTTCAGTCATGGGGACCAAGCAAAATTGAACCTACCTGTTAACCTCCCAGACCGGACCCAAAGGACAATGTGCGTTTCTCAGGGATTGGTTGCAAAAGTCGGTGCGTTCCGTAGCCTCGGAATACGTGAGAACATTGATATGCGTGAAAAGAGTGGTGACCTTTGGATTGGCAGAGTCCGGTTCTGGCACGGCGACAATCTTGCCATCGTGTTTGGATGTGTCGTTCCAATCCGGACTACCGGGTGGGGGAAGCGTGATGTTTCCAGAAGTCGCCGCGCCCGTCACATTTCCCCACATGGTCAGCTTCAGCGTATGTCGGTCGTCCTGATCATCGAACGAGGCATCGATAAAAAGAGGCTTCCATTGTAGACGTGTCGGCTGGTCCATTTGGTAGGACTTGTCCAGGCAGTTGTCAAACGGGATTAGAACCGCCGTAACGGATTGTACCCAGAGCAACCGCAAAGCCAAAAGAAAGAGGCATTTCAACCTGCTAGATAGTCGTAGCAGCAGGCGGCTATGTGAGCCAGGGGCTACGCGTGCGCTTAACCTTGGGCCGTCCTTGTCCGTGCGTGCCATCCGAGAGGACGACAGGACAGTCAACAACGGTGTCGACGGCTGTTCGGAACGGACATTGGAACGGCTTGAAACATGACTGTATGAGGCGCCTGAGGGGATCATTTTCTGAGATGTCAAGTTCACGCAGTCGACGTAGCAGCCCGCTGACATCTGGGCGCAGACAGCGAAAACTTGACAAAGACCCGGGACATGAACACTTCCATCCTCCAATTCCGAGCTTCGATTTGGCGCAAGAGCTGTGGAGGGCGCAAACCGAAGGTCGAAGGGAGAAACCACCGGCATGGTTGATGGTGACTGACAGCAGTACGGCGGCGATTGTCTACATGCTGTACATAGTGAACAGAATCGGGGCTCTTGAAGATCGAATGGTTGGAAATCGCAGCAACACCGTCGCACAACCTCGTGCTTCGCCTTTCTTTCCCGCCTTGGTCCTCGTCCTCGCCCTGGTCCTTGTTCTTCCCGGACCCGCCGTCCCCGCCGCCGATGTTGATCGTGTAGTCGGTGCTGCTGTCGTGGTTGCAGTTGAAGTTGTAGTTGCGATTGAATGTCCTGGCTTCTTCTGTGGCGTCGTCGCAAAGGCTGTAGATGTCGTTGTAGTTGATCTGGAGCTTGTCGCGATTGTCGTGGTAGTGGTAGCGATCGCTCTAGTAGTAGGAGCACTTGACTGCTAGAGGTATGCCCAAACGATGCGCCACCGTGCGGCGCTGAGCTGGAATCCAGTGGAAATCGCCCTGGTCGGTTGCAGGAGCGGGAAGACGGTGAGGCCCAGAGTCGGTCCATCAGGTGTCCGCTGACGGAAAGGATGAAGTCTTCAAATTAACTGTCGATGTTGGGACGAGGCAAATGGGCCTGAAAAGTAGGAAAGGAACAGGCATACCTTAGCAGTTGGCTAGACAACCTAGAAATCCAAGCGGTCGGGTATCGATCATCCATTCAACAAGGACGGTCAGCCGCTTACAGCAAAGGTAGCACCCGGGACTGCTAGGTGTTGAGGTTTCATGAAGCTTCCAGCCTGCCAGTGCCTGCGTAGCCACCCAACTTCCACTTCACCGTTCAATCGATGCAATCCTTATCGTCGCTGATACTGTGTACATTTGTAGAGCGAAAGCCACACAAGATCACCACACCATGGCCAAAAGAGGCAGTGCCGCCAGGGGGCAGTAGCAGCTTCCTAGCTAGCGGAGCCTGTTCCACCATCATCTCGATGTATGGCCGCTCAAGTCTATGCTTTAACATGCTTCCTTCGGGAAGAAATATGCTGGCATAAATGGACCCCGAAATGAGGAGTCAAACGTCTTACAACCTTGGGAGCCATCCATGATATAAGGCTGAAACTCAACTGGCCCTCAGACGTAGTAGTCGAGGTAGGATAAGAACCTGAGAGATGGAGTCAACGCCCAGAGATTGATGATGGACAGCGTATACTCATGAGATAAAATCGCAAATCATTCGCACAGCACCTCGTACGTCCACTGGCCCGGCTTATCGAGAACAAGATTAATGTCTGTGAGGCATTATGCCATCACAATTAGTCTTTGTGTACATACATTCCGTCGTTAAAGCATCGAGCAGTAAGCATGGTGTGAGCAGCCACTCACTCTCAAGCACATGCACACTAGACTAAACTGTGGAGATGGAGATTCAAGCACTCAGTTGGTGCGCGCTTCATTGAGCTCGCCAGGGGGGGGGGGGGGGGGGGGGGCTACGGGCCTCTACCTCCAATCACACCCGCCTACAAAATCCACGACCTCCTTCGAAAGAGAAGCATTTTGTGTTGGACACGAACATCCATTCAGCTGGACAAATTATCTGCATTAGACCGTGCCAATGATCAATTACCTTTGTCATTCAGTCATCTAGTCATCTCTAGACTCAAGGGGCCAACCTCAACATGGCGGTCTCATGCGAAACGTAACAGCATCTATAACCTCAACTTTCATCGCGTTACACCGTACTCTAGGCCAGCCATCCTCAACTTTCTCGCAAACAAAGTTCTCAACACGGCAGTATATGTCCATCATTATAAGCCTCTTCCTTTCTCAGAACATCAAACAGTCACCCGCTTGAATACACCTACATGACGACATCGACAAGGACCTAGCCAACTATTATTTGTTCTGTCCCTTTGCCTTTCCCATATCAATATTGGCCACAACTAACTAAATACCAGATGCTTGAGAGGTATGTCGTGTGCTCGATATTACTGCTTTCTAACCCGCAATGAGGACGACGTTACGACTGATGCCTCGTTTGTGACAAAAGAAGCTTGACTCGGCTTTCCAGTGCGGTAATCTCCTCGGGACTTATACTGTTCACCAATGTGTCTTCCAATGCGCCTTCGATTAGGTAGCTGTCGAGTAAAGATGTTCTTACCATACTTCTGGCTAGTGTCTGCGGGTCAACAAGAAGCGTCAACGCAAGCTGGTGTGTTTCGAAGCCTAGAGGCGTGGTTTCCAGTGGTAGTAGGTTTGTCTTGAGGCGTTGGATCTTTCTCCTCTGAGGCTTATCTGCAAGTGACTGTTGTCTGCGTATCAAGTAACCTCTAGGATCGTTCGTCGGCAAAGCTGCTTCAACGCCCTCCTCGCCCTCCACGATAGATGATGATAGGTCGTCGACCGTCCTTGATTTGACAGGCATTTCACCGCTCAGCATATCAGTCAGACTATTCGCTTTGGTTTGGGCTATAGTTCTCCGTCGTGTGTTGTCCATGGTTCTTCTGCCAATATGCTGACCAGGCGACCCCATGAGTGGCTGGTTGGGCCTGACAAAACCACCGTTCGTATTTGGGACCGTGTTTTCGAGTGGATCAAGCTCGTGGATCTCATTCGTCTGTGTTTTCCGTTGCCGTTTATAGTAGCCTCCGCCAAAAGAAAGTTTAGATTGTACCATCCCAAGGCTTCGCCCAGCATCCGTTGGATAGGAGCGCCTATCCGCCGGTCGTCTACCAGACCCTTGTGTTGTATACGGATTTTGTTCCAAAGCCACTGTTGGTCTGCTGTTGCGTTGATTAGCAGGCTGGGAATGTGCTTCCCCAACATTCAGCAGCGCATTGCAGGTTTGGGTCCTTGTGGTCGTGCGGTTGTTCTCGATCGTTGGCTGAGTTTTCCGGAGAGGTTGATCTTGTGTGTTGCCTCGCCGTCCTGGCACTTCCACCGGTTGCCCTCTGGGAGGCGGCACTTCATCTGGACCAACATGCCCACTTTCCCGTGTAGGACTGCTTAGGCTTCGCTGTGCCTGCCGCCGAGGGGCTACCAATCTGGCAATTGTCCATGGATTTAGGCCCTCTTTTGACTGGTTTGGGGGTTCTTCATCGGTCGGAGGTGTTGTGGGAGCCTCTCCTTTACCAGTCTGTGTCTGGACATCAACATCATCATCCCCATCACCGAGGGCCCCGTCACCAGCAGACATATCGACAGACCATGACTGCACTAAGGGCGCAGTACTTGAGATGGATAGTCTTCTGTCGTTTCTCGACGGGGTAACTGGGCGCTTTCTCTGGGATCCGATCCTAGGCCCACTGTCTGCCCTTATTGTCTCAACCTAGCATCTTTTTTAGTACATCGGAAGCTCGTATGTTTTACCGTACTGCTCACCTGTGGCGTTGAAATGTGTTCATCAGCTACGCCGGTATCGTATACACATCCATTCGCTTCCGTTGATAAGTCCATGGAAGAAGGACCGGCGTCATCGCGCTTAGCGGGATAGATTGACAACAAGAAACTCTCAAACTCTCGAAGCACCAACTCTTCGTTATGAAAGAGAACGTCGTATTTTGATGGTTCGACATTCGGGTCATAGGACCCAAGAGGGCATCTGATATTGAGTCGTATGAACGGGCTTCCGGGAAGTTTTGATGAGTTTCCGGGGATCAGGGACCCCTTGAAATGCTTCTCGAAGACGGCCTTCAACTTCTTGGCAGTTCCTCGAGTGAATGAAAGAGGTCGAGAGTCAACCGAGATGAAAGGACCCTTGCAAATCTTTCGAATATCAGCCGTAGTGGTAGGGAGATAGGCTTCGAATACAAACTTGGATGGCTGCTGAGCCAAAGGGAGACTACAGGTCGGTGGGATTTTCGTCTCAGTGTCGGATACAGGGAATGGTGAAGTCTGAAGTATGCATTGAGCTGCCAGCTCTCGGCCCATTACCTGGACAACAGCGTCCTTGAGGGCGGCACCGGAAGTCGGAACATAGGACCACGATTGCTTTCCGCCAAGGACCTTGAAAGATAACTTGACCTGAGGCCTCGCCAAAGCGTAGCACTCTAAGAGGCCTTTGACCTTCAGAACTGTCGCAGTCGCCTCACTGATGGCTCTCTTGTGTCTGACTGGATACGCACCGAAAAGATCAGTGACGCAAACAGAAGTGCCAGCAGGAGCGGGTTTGTGTCCACCAGCAGCAGCGACACCTTCTCTTGAGAAATGTAAGATAGTTGCCACCGATTCAGCCGATGTTCTGGTGCAGATTGCAATTCCAGCCAGAGCGGCAGCACTGGCCAAAGCTACGCCGCGGAATCCAAGGCTTTTGCAGCCAACAGACTCAAGATCTTTGAGTGATGAGAGCTTGCTAGTATATCCTGGCCGTCCAAGATGGTGAAAGTCGCTCGGACTGATCCCGCTGCCGTTGTCTCTGACCTCGACCCTGTCCACGGTGTTTGGAGAAATCAGGATATCGACCGTTGTTGCTCCGGCGTCGAGTGCGTTGTCCAGCAACTCTTTGACGAGAAAAATGGGCGAGGTTATGACCAGAGCTGAGCCAAGTAAGCGCCTGGTGTCTTCAGGGAGAGCGAATATGGGCATGTTGGAAATTCCAGGGGATAGTTTTAAGAATAGGCTTAAGGATAGAAGGCGCATCCGGCAGCCTGAGCGCCACACAACGACATAAATCGGCGAAAACAAATGAGGGGTTGCAGCAGAAAGGATAAGAGTAGAGATCAACCAGCAGGACAGTTTCACTTGGAGATGCAGTGCTCTCTCCCTTCTTCCTAGCTATGTATGTCGTTGTGAGAAGAGGTGGACAGATGACGATGCCACTGAAACCGGCTCGGATGCAAAGACAATTTGCAAGGGGACAACAAATCTTGAGGATTCGGCAGCTCGGTAAGTAAGGTCGCCAGTAAGAGGAAGTCATTTTCATTTTGTAGGAGATGGCAAAAAGAGAAGGAGTGACTGCTCCAACATTCAACAAGGAAGTTACGAGACGGGATGTGGACTAGCATTACCTCTAGGTACCTAGAGTGGCACATAAGCCTAGTAATGCAAAGATTTGTTCCTTCCTCATAAACTCTAGCACACACAGGGCACGCGTCTTCTGCCTCCTTCCACTCCTCGCTCGAGGCTTATGGCCCACTGGGGATGCCTAGGCAGGTACATCCATGACATTCGAGTCCATAGTGCTGACCCCCAAGTACTTATGCACCATGAGCATACATTTTAGCAATCATCCTTGCGGACGACAACGTTCCAGTTGCCCTTAACGAAGACCCGACCCTTAACGCCGTTGTCTTCGGGAAGTTCGCCCCAAATCGTGGCACAGTCCCTGTTGTGGGAGTTGAGAACAAACTGAGCAGCCCAACCGATGGAGCCGTACGAGTCGAGCGATTTGACGTCCGGGTTCTGTAAGGCGATGGGTAAGGTTAGCAACTGGGACAGTCGTCTTTACCTCTAGAAGATAGCACTTACATCATTGCACCAATAAATAGCGCTCTCATAGGAGCAGCTAACGCGCCCGCAGTTGCCGGGACCGGGTCCGTTGGCAGGCGTACCGGGTACATTATTGAGGTACTCGATGCCCTTCGTGGTAGCAGTCCTCTGAGCATAATCGAACACATTGCAGACAAGCGACTCGAGCTCGTAAGAGCTGTCGGACTCAGTGGCCGTAGCGAACACAGGGCTGTCGGCGGTGTTGTCGATTCCAAAATCCTTACGGAAGTTGGGGTTGGCTTTGTCCAGGGCATCGTAAACCTGCTGAATGGTGCCGGTCACGTTCATGGTAGGGCCATCCGGGTGGGCCTTGACTTCCCAGATAATATCCTCGATGCCGTAACCAAAGATAGGATCGTGGGCCGATTTGGCATCAGAAGCCGGTAGGGCACTCGAAGGGATAGCCTAACAGCCGAGTATCAGCATAGTTGTGTGTGGAAAGGAGCCACAAGCTTGCCAACAGGAGTTCTTACCTGAAGGATGGCCAAAATGGCTCCCGAGACGAGAGCTGAGGATCGCATGGTGCCGATGTTGACAGTAGGGTTGAGGTGGAGGTGAGAGCAAGAAAGGAAGCTGGCAGTGAATGACTAGTACAGGAGTATGGAAGTTGATGAGGAAAGAAATCCAAACGCTCGAAAAAGGAGGCAGACCCCATCTTTTTGTACCCGAGAGGTCAACGATTCTGAGCATGATCCTCAATACATCCATTTAAACGACGCAGTCGCCATGGAATCACCGTCCCAACGAGGTTCAAGATCCATCATATTCGCCAGGACGAGCAAACACTTGGGTCCATCTATCCCGCCGTTTTTTCTCTATTTCATCCACCCCGTTCCCATCTTTGAGTGACCGACCGCTTTCATGTGGCGTTCTAGCCGAGGTTCATCGCTTTGAGATGGGATAGCATTCGTTCTAGAGCCATCCTTCACGGCTTGTTGGGCCTAGATGCGGAATTCATCTGGACTTCAGGAGGTGAAAGTGGACAAACCAGTCTTCGTCGGCCCGTCGATGTAGGACGAACTCCTGCCAGGAGGGAAAACGCAGAATTACATTCTCAACCGGCCCTTGCCATCAGAAATGATATACATCCTCAACGACGCAAGGGGAATAATTTATACCTGGACTTCATCCACATCCTGAGTTGGCTTAGTGTCCTCGTTGTACGGCGACCCATGGAAGGTCCTTGACTCCATATGTGATGCAAGCCATTCCCTCATTCTTTCTATTCCACCGCCAAACGCCTTGTCCGCTTCAGCATCCCTTGGGCCTCCGGACGCATTCGTTTAGGTCTATCGATTTTTAAATGTTTCCAACGGTAGAACACCGCGTACCTACCTGATACCTTCAAAACCAAAAGGGTAATTCATGATAAAACGTTTAATGGATTTAGGATCGATAAATTTTAAAGGGCGTATGGGATATTCCTAGTAGGAACTCGAATTGCAGCCTTTTTTTTTCTGATCGCACTTTGACAAGGATACAAGGATAAAAAAGAAAATGCCAAACTGAGAATATGCCGTTCTCCTAACCAACCACCATAACGTAACGTAAGGATACTATATACCTACTTTGTAAGCTGGACCAACCACACTGATTTGAATATGAAGGCACATTCCTTGTATGTAGGCATTTGGAGGAGACTACTCATCAAGAGGTTCCCAAAATGCCATTTCTTCTTAACTTGTCAAATTGCATTTCAGATGAGTGGCTCCAAATGGCCAATGCCAAGACAGGCGTTCAGCGGTGGAAATGATATTTCTGGTTCTCGCCGAGTCTTTCCGCTGTAGTGATAGAAGCTGGGTCTCCGCTTTAATCACTTCCAAATCTTCATTCATCGGCCTTTTCCCACGGTTCATGACGAATCAAGCAACACCTGACTTGCCTAGGTAGTTAGCACATTTGGATACCTTGATTGAGAACGGTGTTTGTACTCGCTTTCAGTTCCAAGGACGATTCGCACGGTGTTTGTACTCGCTTTCAGTTCCAAGGACGATTCGCACCATCATCGTATGTACAGTTAAGCAAGACATACATAGCGCTGACACCTTTGTCTACTGGCTACGCTAACGCGATGTTCAGGATCACGAGTTTTTGCGTTGCACATGCATGTAACTGATACCAACGCACTAATATCGAGCCTGATTGCTGTCGGATTGATCTGCCACGTGCCTACATGGAATTTGAGGTTGAAGAAGTTGTCCTGAACCTCCCCAAACAACAACAACAACAACAACAACAACAACAACAACAACAACAACAACAACAACAACAACTGAAAAAAAAAATAAAAAATAAAAAAGAAAAAATAAAAGAAAGAAAGGAAAAATAAAAAAATTTCCCGAGACTAGAGCAAGCAGGATGACAGGGACATCTTGAATCTGAAAGTTGAAGCTGGAATGAAGGTGATGATCCAACGACCGCACAACGCTCAGAGACAGGGTGAAGCCATCCTCGCTGGGCTGGTATCTTCTACCTGCGCGGCCCATTGAAAGTATCACCAGGAGGGAGGACGTCCTCGAGGTATTCTCGCCATCAATTTTGTCACGGCAGGCGTTGGCACATACACCACACCAGAAAAGCCCCAGGCTTGCCACGCGAGCCCGGCAAAGGTATGATGCGGGAAATATCTTGAAGTTTTCATAGTTCTGTGGCTGATGCAAACCGCAAGGCGACGAGGACGGCACCACGATTACGTGGAAGGTAAGACGTGGGTGTGAGCCACTCCTTGGTACCCGTGTGAGGTTCTGGAAATAGCAGATACATCCCTGCTAGAGCTGCACATGTGTGGTTGAGCTATGGTATGTATGTACGGTGCTGTAAATGCTCCGTAGGGTATCTGAGCCCGTACCGTCCGGCCCGTACCACTCAGCCAAACCTTCATGCTCCAACGAAGGTTCCTCTTCTCCCCTCACGGGTATCACAAGCTCTAGACAAAATACCAACTCCAAGCTCGTCATAAAGGACAGCCGAAGGCGCAACCATCGCAAGAACCGCCGATCGTTCACACCAGACCAGTTCCTCAAGCACACGCAACCATACGCACACATACCTACACAATGGTACATACCAAGGGACCCGCCCCGCAGCACCACGATGGCAGTGGCCTGCGCATCGGCATCATCCACGCCCGCTGGAACGACACCATCATTGAGCCGTTGCTCGCGGGAACCAAGGCCAAGTTGCTTGAGTGCGGCGTCAAGGAGTCCAACATTGTGGTCCAGTCGGTTCCTGGTTCGTGGGAGCTTCCAATTGCTGTCCAACGGTGTGTCACAGTCCTTCCCTTTCCTTATAACCTCCCCCCCCCCCCCCCCCCCCCTTTCCCTCCCTCCCCCCGGGGGGCTCCCACATTGCTTGTCATTGTAGTTGCTCGAGGTTGCTACATACTTACCAGCTACCTCTCCTCCTCGTCCCTCCCCCCTCCCTTCAAGACGGAATGGCTCTGCTTTACCCTACGTAAACGTTCGTAGAAAGCCCGGCTGACAAGAACCCAACCTACCCTTGGGTCTCACCGTTCCGATAGGCTCTACTCAGCATCGCAAGTCCAGTCCTCCTCGTCCGGTATTGGTACCAGCGCCGGCGATCTCCTGGGCAGCTCGACGACCGACCTCGCCTCTTTGAGCAACACCGCTGCATCTGCGGTGTCGACAGGCCCCTTCGACGCCCTGATCGCCATTGGCGTGCTGATCAAGGGCGAGACGATGCACTTCGAGTACATTGCCGACACGGTGTCGCAGGGCCTGATGCGCGTGTCGCTCGACACGGGCGTGCCCGTCATTTTCGGTGTCCTTACCGTGCTCACCGAGGAGCAGGCGCAGGCGAGGGCCGGCCTCATCCCTGGAAGCCATAACCATGGTGAGGACTGGGGTCTTGCGGCTGTTGAGATGGCTGTCAAGCGCAAGGATTGGGCTGCCGGCAAAATTGAGTAACGGTCGATCATGTGGGTTGGGACGAGGATCACGAAGAGGAGACATATAACCAATATAGAAACGCTTGCAGTTTCATAAGCTTCACATCAAGAGAGAAATTTCATATACGGTGGCGGCCAGTCAATATGCATGGGACCCATTTCTAGCCTGGTGTGTTCGTACTCTAGACGCGGGGAAAGGGAGGTGACCAAGAGCACTTTGTGACACGACTGATGCTTCGTGTGATGAAAACTTTGCACAGTCGAAGGACACGCAGGTCTCGTCCCAATGAGAGGATGCACCGCTTTACTAATGGCTAGAACTCCATGCCAGGTTGAGATGCGCTCGATGCGCTCGATGACAACGTGGGCGAGGTATAAAGTATTCGACCATGCGTGACATTGGAATTACTATATTACTGATGGGTTGTGTATGTCTATCGTGAAACGTCCCCCAAGCAGTTCGAATGAATGAAGATAGCAGGTAATTGAACTCCCATCTCGCCCAGTAAACAAAAACCCCCCTTTTTTAAAGTGATACGCATTCACAATATGTTCGAACCTCAACTTACATCTCCTATCCTTCCTTCTTGTCACGCGGAGCCCGAGATACAAGAAACAAACTGCCCAACCATATCCAACTTCGGTCTGGGGAATTCCTACGGTCCTTGGCACAGGGTATATCACTTTCACATGATAAGTGTGCCGGCATCGCCACTCACTGACTTCTTCCTCTTCCACAGGGACCTCTTTTTCTCGCGTTTGGCCTTCATGTCCTCCCATCCTTGCTCGTCGTCGTCGTCATCCGAAGCACTGCCGGACTGCTTTGCGGTAACAGTAGGCTGGTTGAACCCCGACATGGTCGAGGACTTGCGCATATGACTTGCGCCCAACGGCTGCACAGTTGCCGACATTGCTGGTAGAGCTGGGGGTGCCATTTGTGATACGGGCCGGTATCGGCCAGGAAGCCCAACGTTACTACGTTCCGACGGTGCGATCGACGGCGCATAACCTCCTGTAACTCGAATTGACGGAGCAAAACCAGCAGGCTGTTGCGGATGGATCCAGGATGCCGAGCTGGGCTGGACCATGCTCATGGTGCGCTTCTGGGCATCGCCTCGAGGGGGGGGCAGATCTAGCATCGATTCATTGCCCATGAAGGAATGCCGCAAATCAGGTCCGCCAAGTCCCAGGCCACCAGGAACACCATGCATTGGCGGCAATCCAGCAAACCCGCCAGACATGCCGGCCGCAGAGCCTATGCTTCCAATCGAACCTGTGGCCATATGCCCTTCTGGACGTGGTGCTCCAGTGCCGTTTTGCCCCGCCATCATCTGCATGAATTGCATCTGCATCTGCATGAACTGTTGCATCTGCTGGGTCATCTGAATTTGGGCTTGGTCCCCGGGAGTCAGGCTGGGCTTATTGGGGTACAGCATGTGCGGAGTCATGCCGGCAAGAGGATCGAAGGTGGCAGCACCAGAATTGGGCCGTTGAGCTTCAATATGAGGGCTGCCCCGTCTCATTGCCCTCGCTCTTTCTTCGCTTGCAATGACGCCAATTAGGCCACCAGGAGGGCCGGCCGGGTTGGGATAAACGGGAGCAGGGCTACCTCCTCCCAGGGCAAAGTTCTCGCGCGGATTGTTGCGAACGAGACCGGCACCGAGGAAGGGGTCCTGAGGTAGGTTCCTGGCAAAAGCTGGGAGGTGACCGCCTATCGCTGCCGCTGCTCCGCCAGCTGCAGACCCCGGCCGTTGATAGCTAGGTTCCTGCGCAGCGCGGAGGTTGGGGTTCGACATCATGGTGCTCAAACGGGTCGGAGGCCGGTTCTTGTTGGGAAAGCCATGGGCGGCGAGAATGGCCAGAGGAACTTCCTCGTCTTCATCCGAATTATCTGACGTGGCTGGTCCTGTCGCAGAAATCTGCAGATTTGGAGTGCTGAAAGACATTTGGAGGTTAGGCCGTGGCATGGGTGCGTTCGCCGACTCTCCAGTAACCTTCATCATTTGCTGTCGGTAAACGGACATATGGGCTTCCTGCTTCTTCCTCTGCTTTGCTTGCTGTTTTGCCTTTTCCAGGTCATCCTCCTCATCATCGTAGTTGTCCTCATCGTCTTCCTCGCCAGCCGTGCTTTTGTCCTGGTTTCTTGCAATGTCCATTTGCCGCTCCCTGTCCTGACGTTCCTTATCCTTTCGATACTTCTCAAACTCGGCCGGGGTCATGACCTTGTTGGCCCCTTGTGACTGCATGCCTTGGGCACGGTTACGGCTCACTGTTGTTTCGTATGCGTAGCTGTGGTTGGTATCGAAAAGACTATCGTCATCACCCAGAGCAGTGTCCTTGAACCCAGAGGGCAGACCGTTTCCACCCCTGCGATACCGTGAACCAGCAGAGGGGCCGGATATAGATTGCGCACCTCCTTCATCCATATACTTGCTCACAGTGGATAACGAATCCATCAAAAGCCTTGCCTCCTCATCTTCGCCCTCGCCCTGTTCCGTGTCCGAGTTTTGGTGCGCGAGCAGCGGCTTCCTTGGGTTCGATTCTGGGGAGGCGCTTGGTCGAGTAGCCTCGCGAGCCAAATGCGACATATGGCGAGACGGAGGAGAGGTCATTTCCCTGTTTCGGGGCGAATGGGGAGGGCTAGTTGGCGAGAGCAGTTGGTCGTTGGAGCGCTGGCTGGTCCATGACGGTTGCGCAGGCTCCACCTTTGCGGTTCTGTCAACCTGAATAGGCGACGGCTGGCTGAGACGATTTCCAGTCAAGGATCTCGGTCCCAAGCCGGGTTGTGTAGTTTGGCTGTTCTGGTTGTTTTGCTTGCCCACCATTGTAACTCTCTTCTCATTTCCAAGCACCATCTTCTCAAAGTCACCCCCCAAATCCATGCCAAGGTCGTCCTCCACTCTGGGTGGTGTTACGGTCGTCGAGGTCGAAGTAGTTGTAGCCCTTGGTCTAGTAGGAGCCAAGATTTGATTATAATCCTGGGCTCCGGAATTCAGCGGCGGGACTGGCTCTTGTTCAGCCGGTGAAACGGGCAGAGGCTTCTTTCCTCCCCCAAAAGAGAACGTTCGACCGGCAGCCTTCAAGAGTCCCGCCGAAGAAGACTTGGGGATAGGCGGCACCGGTACATCACCAGAATCAGCAGATGATGGTGCAGTGGAAGAGTTGCTATGGCGCGAGGAGTTGTCAGTCGACGTGGCCTTGGTGGTGCTCGAGGATGCGCTTCCCCTTTAGGCGGTTAGCCAGTCAACTCAGCGCAAGAAGAGACCTGGTGAGGATGTAAACCAGGACGAACCGCGAACAAGGTGAGATGAGAACACGAGAGGTAATCTCGACAACCGACAGGGTCAGAAGGGATAGGACTAGGGTTGGGCAGGTATCAGCGGGAGAAAAGCAATGACTCTGCTCTTACCTGTTGATGCCGGCGAACAAATTGTCGTGATGTATATCGCTGCCACTCGTTTTGGGCCTAGAAGGGGCCTTGCCTCCCAACCTCATGGCCCCATCGAAAGATTTGCCAGCCTCATGGAATTTGTTCCCGCCAGCATCGGGACGCTCCAGAACACGAAAGGACGGCTCTGCCGGAGCATTGTCAGCGTTGTCAGCGGTCGACTTCCGCCTTCCAAACGCGACCGAGAATCTAGGCATATAGATGTCCGGGGCGGTTTCCTTAACCGGCTATAAGACAGACACCGTTTTTAACTCCGCCCAGTCAGGCCCGTTAAAGAGGGTTATGGCCTCTTTCTGTTGCTCTGGCGCGCGAACTGCGATTTAGCAGTGCTTTGACGGGCTGTGGTGTCGTAAGGAGGCGCGGGTGACGAACGCTGCTGACCTGGTGAAGCGATATCTTCCTGTAGGTCGAAATTCGGTTTCACCTCCTCAATGACTGAGCGGACTGGATATGAAAGATATCGGCAACCTGCAGGATAAAGAGGGCCAAGGTTAGCAGCGGACGACAAGAGGTGAGTGCATCAATGCGATTGCCCGAAGTGTTGCACGGAGCGTGACTGTGCCAGTAGGGGAAACCGACGAGCGGTGCTGGAGGTCGGGAAAGAAGGACGATTCCGTCAATATCGCCAATCGCCAATCGCCAATCGCTAATCCCCAACCCCCGGACTCTGGCTTGGACTTTTCAGGTGACAGGGTGACATCTATTGGCACTGGCGCACATCAAGGCGGGCGGGAGCGCAGCAGGTACGAGCAGACACGGCGGCGCGTCCTTGTATGCCCGTGCCTGCCTGTCCTGATCCCAGGCGCATTCAAAGACAGCATGGGGTGGGAAATCCGAGGCACTCCAGGTGCCCCAAGGCACTTCCAGGTGCATGTATAATTGTGATGTTTTAGAGGCAATGCGCACTGGCAGCGAACTACAGCCGCCGTCAGACCCAACGAGAGACAAGAAGTTTGCACTTACGAACTAGGGGGAATGCCACCGATTAAGACAGATTTTTGGTATATGCCTCGTAGCCTGTCGGTATTTTCTTGACACTCTACACTCTTTTTTGTGCGTGTCAAATAGGCTTGCGGAAACCCGTATTACAGTCGTCGGTGGTTTGCCGGTTGGATCTGCAGTTCTGACAGCACCCAACAACGAGCGTTGGCGAAGGGGGTTCGCCGAAAATCGAAGAAGAAAATTGTTTGGGCGATGGGTGAGCCGGCGTCGACACAAGTCTCGAATCTGGGGCAGGCGTCGATCAAAGTGGAGAGAGGTCGGGGCGATTGAAGACGGGAGGTCTGAAGATGCACGAGAGAAGGGAAAGACGGATTCACACAAGTGAAAAGGTCAAAATCCAAAAAAAAAAAAAGGAGGCCAAAGAATGATGAATAGGAAAACAGAGGAAGAGTTAAAGAGACGGGACGAGATCAGGTACAGAGTACGAGTTCGGGTGACGGAGTGCTATGTACAAAATAGGGGAGATTAGTCGATTAACACGATTGGTGGGCCGGCGTGGTGCGTAAACGCAGTTGGTAATTGGGGCAGTGTTTTTTGTTATTGCCTTCCAGGTCCTATGGTAGGTAGGTGTTGTTGCTGGTCCAGGTGGTTAGGTAGATACCAAGGTACTGTTCGGGTTTCCTTGTTTGGTGAAGCACGCAAGTGGAACGTCTGGATGTAGATACGTGAGACACGGTAGAGCAGCTCGGAAACAATAAAATAAGATAAAATAAAATGAAAAAGAAAAATAATCAGAAACTTGAGAGGTAGAGAGGTTGGAGTTTCCACCAGGAAAAGAAACCGAGAGAGCAGAAACGATGGGCTTGGATGACTGAATGGAACGATGGATACGGAGATCAGAGCTCGAAGTGAAGAGCAGGGCACCTCCCTGGTCGCGACAAGAGTGGAACGGCCCTAGTCAGCACACAGGCAGAAGCTGGGACAGAAACTGGATCCTTTTCTATTTTACCCGTTCTACCATCTGCAGCACCACACTACAAGGCGACAGTACCTTGGTGAACGCGCCCTGACGACCTCTACATTACCTTATAATTTCTTCAGCGTATGTACTATGTACACACATACATGGCAGCCAAATTCATTTTCCTGGGATGGAATGGATGCCGTGACATGGGGTAATGGGTCTTGGACAATTACGAAGTGGGGAACCGGAGGACTTCACAGGCACTGATGGCGATGGCGAGGTGACGGCGCGAATAGCGCCCTTCTGTTGGCGACTCGCCCGACAGCTACTCACTTCTTTACCTCTCACCCCCTTGTTTGACCTGATCATCTTCACCCTCTTTTGCACTCTTATAAGTTTTTTTCCCAGTCTGGGTTTCTGCTTTAGGCCCGCTGGCCCAATCTGTCTGGAATCGGCGGTCACCCATCACGGTCATCACCTCAGCAGAGCGGGCTCAGCTGCTCATCAACGGTTTTACCCTCTTGGTGGAAAGGTTGTCTATACTTGGCAGTTGTCCGTCTAACACCACTCACCGGTCCGGTTCCGCCCCGTCACTTGTCGAGCCGTCAGGTCCAATGGGTCTGGTATGAGGGCATGGATCTGGGTGAATCTGTATGGACCCCATGCCACCTGTGTCCACAGGGGAAAATCTCGTTCTCTTTCAGTGTGCTCCCTCGGAACACCTTGGCGAGCACATCAAGCAGTGTTTTAGAGGTCCTGCTGTGAGCTCGGGACACGCGGAGTTGGGAGGGAACCATACAAATGGCTCTTTTGAGGACGGGGGCATGTCGATACGCAAGTACATGGCCTGCTTCATGGCAGTTAACAGGCACTGCAACAAGCCGGCGAGGATCTTTACCAAGCAACACGTGCATGACGTCCACGAGAATGTGTGGATGCATGAGCGGCATGGGCCTGCTGGGCTGCTTGGCAAATTGGTAGGTATCCAAAATTGGGTAGCCCCGTTGGTTTTGGTGACTGCTCCGTTGTTGGGTCTTTCGTTTTCAGCCGGCACTGCTATGGACCTGGACTGGGGACGCGGAAAGGATCTCCCAAGACCTACTACGTACCCGTTTCGATATGCTCTGCTCCTTTTGGGTAATTAGCAATGGATGAGCCCAAGTATCATCACGTCTCGATATATCAGTACCCGTGGAGATAGGGTATACTCACAACATTCCTTCTACACCGCGACTGCCCATGGCGAGATCCCAGCCGAGCCGTGTAAGGAGTATTGATCAAAAGGCTTAACTTGCAAGGGGCAAGGAGTGAGCGAGTTCACGTGCTCATGGTTCTATTGGAGTAAAAATGGGATGTGTTCTTCGCTTGTGAGATTTCGCTCAACATGATGCTTCTTCCTGCGGTCCCCCCCTCCTTCAATGACAGGGGCTGTTGGTCTCACTCTTTTGTCGTTGCCCGCTCATGGGCCAAACCACCAGCTTTTTCCCCACGGGCGTCTCACAGACACAGAATCTTGATACGGATTTCGAGCCCGAGCGCATCATATATACACCACTCGATTCTACAGGAACACGTTTTCTTGTGTTGTCATGTGTATTACGGCCGGTAACACTGCTATGGCGGTGGCCGCTTAAAACTCTCCTATCACGGCAGTACTCCCCAAGAATGGATTCCTCGCCAGACGGCCGCGGGTGGGGTTGGATATACAGGCCGGGGGATTTTGGAGGTGAAAACGGTGAACAAGCTGGCCTACCAGTTACATAGATGCTTTTTTTTTCCCAAAGTACGGAGTATATATTCCTTGCACATACGAATATCGTCTTGCGGCAACAAACACTTTCCTGGAATTCGGACATTCTGCCAAGCAAATGCCCCTTAGACAGCCTCCCTCCCCGCCACTCGGGACGATTTGCAGGACGTGACCCCGGACATGTGTGGTGCGGTGTGGTGCAGTGCAGTTCAGTGGAGCGCTGTCGATTGCATGCGCTGTGAACGTGTGTTGGAGAAACTGTCAGTGAGAAACCACTGGCCGCCGGAGAGGGCTCCTCATCCGACCTGGGCTTCCTTTGGGATGTTACCTCTGTCCGTTCCGGTGTGCAGTGGAGGCCGGTGATTCAGCAACGATGATGCGAACGGGTGCGCAACTTGACAGACAGCAGAGCGGCAGGCACTGATCTCCATATAGCGCACTTGTACACTACGCCATTGTCTGACGCTGACGTCGGCTGTTTCCCACGTTTGGTGGTGCACAGTGTGTTGTGGAGCGTAACGGTGTCTGGCGCGTGCTGCAGATCGGGAGTAAAAGTTCCATTCAGGTTCCATCCGAGATGGACGTGCCGCAGTACGCTACAGAACTCAAACGCATCGCGACTCAACTCAGAACGGTAGTATAAATGACCTTGCTGCAGGACGGAAGGCGGCTTTGCGGGGTGCAAGGAGGCGAGGGATTGCTTTTTCCATCATCCATGATAGCACTCTATAGTTGGTGAACCCCATGCCTTGTTTGCTACAGGTGTTTCAGCCTCTGACCGTGCATTCAGTGAGTGCCATGGATCCACGGGCTTCACCTATCAAGCTTCGTCGTTGAATGAGAAAAAAAAAAAAAAAAAGAAAAAAAAAAAAAACACACACACACACACACGCACACAGAGGCCAGGTTTTGAAAGGAATCATCTCCATCTGCTACCCCGTGCCTGCCGAGCCTGCCTAACGTTCCATACCCATGCTCGCCGCCATGTTACTAAGCTCGGAGCACCAATCCCTTCTTCGTTCGTCCCATACTTCTCAAGATACCTCGGACTGCCCCGTGCCATGACGGCATGAGACCGCCAATCTGCGAACCTCATCAATTGCCGTTAGGCGCCACCACGCCGGCGGTTAACATTCGGGCTGTAAACGTCCGGAAGAGATGGAGCGTATGTATCAGACAGATCATCCGATTTCCATGGACAAAGGCCCGGCCGGGCCCCGGAGTGCGGCGGCCGAGGATGCATCGTCAGCGATTGCTGACTCGACAACGACCTCCAGGATGGGGAAAACTACATAAAAAATATATCATAAGAACATGAGTGAAAAGTAAATTGCGTCAACTACTCAAGAGCACAAATCATCTTGGTTCGCCTCCAAACATAAAATTTCCATCCACCTCATTCTTGAAGGTCCATCAGCAGCGGGTTTGTCCGCTGTTTACTTCCAGGGGTCTGAATCCGTTGCTAGTTTCACCTTCTCCTCAACAAGCACCCTTCCTTGTTACCCAGCCTTATCTTCCCTTTCTGATTGTCTATCTTTGATTCAGCGGGTCCTCTTTCCCTCGGCTTTTTCACTCACCATCCAAAGTCAACAAAAACGACGGCAGGAGGAAATGGCATCTCCAAATTACGCACATTCATATCCGGGCGGCCGCAGCGGTCCATTTCTCTGCCTGCAAGAGCCGCAACCACCGGCCCCCAAAGGCCATAGCGCGCTGGCATCGCTCATCAGAAACCGCCCTGGTATATCACTACCAAACCCTTTAAACCCTTTTCGTGACGAGGAGGAGGCTCTTGCAGGTCTTGGGGTGGAACGGAGATTAGTGGATGATGAATCTCCCCGCCGGGATGAGCGGCGCATGAGCGCTGTTCTCAACGGACCTCATATGCGCAGCATGCGCCTGATCGGAAACAGCAACCCTCGATATCGGTGGGAAAGATATTGGAAGACCGAAGACGAGCTGGCGACTATGAAAAAGTCCATGTTAGTGTTGCCCGTAATCCTTGCTCGAGCCGCTTGACGCTGATGCCCTGTTGTAGCCGTGAATACTATGAGCGTTGCAACTACCTTGTCCAGCAGTATCTGTACATTGATAAACTTCTGGATTCATCCTTGCCTCATGACCTACTCAATGAATACAACGACCTTCCGCCATGGGCTTTCCGTGGAGGTCTGGAGGCTCCTGTTACCACGCCGCCAACCAGCGGTGCCGCTGCAGAGCCCGCCCCAACATTCTCCAAGACTCGTAAGGTCAAGCGGACGCCCAAGGACATCTACCGACCAACCGAGACCACACCTCTCTTCGGTGGTGATGGCAACGCCGTCGACGACGAGGACAGTGACCAAGTTGCTAGCCAGGAGACCCGGCCTGAGATCCCATGGCTCGAGGATGATGATGTCGACAGCTCCGCCTCCATCGTTACCTTGGCTATTTACATCAACTTTGCTGCCAACGCTATCCTTCTAGTCGGCAAGCTCGCGGTAGTCTTGACCGTCCCATCCGTCTCAGTATTGGCAAGTTTGGTGGACGCGATTCTGGATTTCCTGTCGACTGCCATTGTGTGGATCACTACCTGGCTGATCAGCCGACAGGATCAATATCGATATCCCATTGGGCGAAGAAGACTGGAACCGATTGGGGTGCTTGTCTTCTCCGTTATCATGATCACGTCCTTTGCTCAGGTCGCCCTCGAGGCTATCCAACGTCTCATGTCAAATGACCGGGAGGTTATTGAACTGTATGTGTCCTTGATCCCTAATCCCTGTCGACCTCTTCAGGCCTTTCTTTTATTCTAATGCTGATATGTTTCGTGTTACAAGTGGTGTACCGGCCATAGCCATCATGTTGAGTACCGTCGTCATCAAGGGCATGTGTTGGCTCTGGTGCCGTCTCATCAAGAACTCCAGTGTCCAGGCCTTGTAAGTAGGAGAACGCAAAACCCTCAATCCCTCACCTGCTTCTCCTTGAGATGAAAGACACTGGCTTACATGTTTCTCCAGGGCCTCGGATGCCAGCACCGATGTCATATTCAACGCCGGCTCAATCGCTTTCCCATTAAGTCTGTCTTTCCCCCTCTTACTCCAAAGCCTCAGTGCCTCATATTGACCTCCACCTTTGTCGATGCAGTTGGCTACTACTGTCAAATCTGGTGGCTCGATGCGCTTGGAGGCTTGCTACTCTCCCTGGTGGTCATCTTCAACTGGTCTCAAACATCCGGGGAGCACATCAGACACCTGACCGGCTTTTCCGCCACTGCTGATCAACGCAATATCTGTAAGTGCCGTTGCGGTTGTCGCCGTTGCCGAGGAGTTCAGCCCAGTCCGCTTTTCCCTGCCTCCATCCTTTGCTAACAGAGCCGAAAATAGTGCTCTACTTGACGATGCGATTCGCGAAGACTATCAAACAGATCCAGGGCTTGCAAGCCTACCACTCGGGAGACAAGCTTAACGTTGAAGTTGACATTGTTTTGGATGCCAGCACGTCACTCAAGGACAGTCATGATTTGGCGTGAGTATACATTCTTCAAACCCCTGCGCATTGGTTAAAACATGTTATTTGATGACAGACGAGTTGACCTGCGGGATACAGTGAAAGCCTCCAATACGTCATAGAATCTGTCCCAATTGTCGATAGAGCGTTTGTCCACGTCGACTATGCTAGTTATAACCTCCCCACTCATATGGAACAGCAACACAACATATAAGCTCGGCGCAGTGAGCATGTTAGGCTCACCGGAGTTTACCGAGGTGTGTGCCTTGTGTTCTCATCTCACACGTAGGCAAGCCCGGTTGATTCATTGTTGAGGTTGGATGGTGCCACCATACAAGGTCAGCGAGACTCCCGGCATTGTCAGAGCCTCAGCTGGCCCCAGTCTTGGCCAGTCCAGCTTTCTGGCTCGAGGGTGTTGGTACGTCTTGGAAGTTTGTCAAGATCCAGGACCGCCGGTCGTGGGCTGTCAGAAAGCACAGACGTTAGCTTGGCAACCTTACCTCCGCACAAGGGCGGACTTACGCCTTCAGCAGGCGACAGTCGACTGCTTCGAACGCTGGCTGATGGCTGGCTGGTTGATCAGGTAACAAGGCTGTTCGAAAGAGAGGAAGTAACCAGCGTGCCTGGCTTACAGGATGATGGCTACACATCAGGCACACCAATGTTCAAGAATCAATACAATTACGGTTCAATTCTGGTGGGCAAAATCATCGGCCCTCAGTTTGAGTCGAGACCAAATCATGACCGGAGATGGGCGTGACGAAAGAATGAAAAACTATACATTACGGAACTGTCGTGCAGGTAATATAGAACTGGACGAGCATTATGTGGAAATTGTAACAGATGGCCTGAGGAGAATGCCCCAATCACCACCAACGCCCAAAATCTTAGTAAGGGATGCCGTTCGTCAGAAGCTGGAATTGGTCGTACAATCCCGTCGAATAGCTTGCGTAACTCTTCCTGATAAGATCCTTCATGAAATCGGCTGCCTCACGCTCGCTCTTCTCCAGCACAAATCGCTCCTTGAAGTGCTTCACGCTCTCCGGCTTGAAGCATGGCAAGCCGCTGTCCATCATCAGCAACACAATCTGTGACAACTTTTCCGCGTATTGCCGGGAAGCAAGGAAGGCTTTGATACACAGCTCCTCAAACCACTTGAAGGACTGGTGATCTGGACTGCCGCCCATCACAGCAAGCATTTCGGATGTTAGCTTGAACGGGGCACGCTCAAACTTGATACCACCAGGGGCAATATCGAAACAGAAACCGAAATCGATGTGAAGAATGTGGCCGGCATCATCAATCATGATGTTACCGTTATGCCTGTCCTTGAATTGTAGGAGGAACGAAATGACCGAGTATGCCGCCATACTCTTGACAAAGTTGTTTCGGGCCTGTTGGAAGCGAAGTGAATCCTCGTTGCCATACTTGGAAACGAAGTAGTCATGGAGCCCGTTGACGGCTTCTCGGCCCAGCATGTCTCGGGATATGGAGTTGGGAAGGACATCGATGACACCGCAGCCGGGTGCTGTGGCCGTCACTCGGTAAGGAAAGACAAAGACATCAAGACCAACTGTCTGAAAGATTCCTCGGAAGGCGGCGATCATCTGAAGGGCCAACACGTCTTGTCTGCAGTCGTCACCGACCTTGAAGATGGCCGATTGCCACACCTCTATGGTGCTGGCCTTTGCCGCATCATCACTATCCGCTTCCGATTCTTCGATCATGTCCTCAGTCTCTTCCACCCCTCCTTTGGACTTTTGAATGCGGAAAGTTGCCATAAAGGGAGCTTTTGCGTGACTCTGCAATGGCTTGCCTGACTTTCGATCAATGCCGATGACCACGCCATCCGGGTTGCTGGGCAGATAGACGCCAACCTCAACCTTAATGTTGCGCAATTCCTCCTCGATCTTTTGCTTCTTCTCCGGCTTGGACTTCTTAATGAAAGGCTTAAGCTTGCCCGAAATGCTAGTCACCTCATCGAAGAAGGCAAATTCGCGTTCATAGAATTCACGATCGACGGTAGAGAAACTGTCTATCATGTGGCCCATGACTTTGTCAAGGGTTGGTTTTATCGCATCCGGCTATGACGTATTAGCATATCAATCTCTTTGCCAACCGAATCTAAATTAAGATAACTTACGATTGTAGCGTCTTCGTCCTTATAGGCGTTTGCCTTCATGTTCCAGATGATTTGATGCGCGAAGAGTTGAGAGAACTGGGCTGTTTCGAGGATGTAGCGCTCAACGTAACCTAGAGCATCATAACGAAGGGTTTGCACAATTTGCGGGACATAGAAGAATGTCACGTCAACAGAGTGACTTTCCAGTGCCCTCATGGCGTACTGTATCAGATAAGGATGATTCCGGTATGCGGGCAGAAAAAACGTTATCGACGTTATGGGGTTAACCGGGGCCCAGAAGAGAAGGTACTAAGGTGTGAAAGTTAGCAACCAGTACAAAGAGATAGTCGCAGTTTCGTTAGCAGCCAACGGATGTAGATACCTTGAGTTGAAAGCTAACATCTTCGGGCAATGAGCCGTCAACAAGTGTCGCCACCGCTTCGGGCTCTTTGATCGCCTTGGCAGGGAAATTCAGGAGAAGCCACCGGACTTCTTGCTTGACTCGCGGATAAGGGAATCTGCTGGCGAGATGCACAGCCAATGAAGGAGATTCGAGCCACGCAATCCGAACAAGGGGGAAGATGGCGGCCTATGCAACGGTCAGCCAAAGCAGTTTTCTCATGACTGGAATCCACGATACGTACCTCTACAAGATTCTTATTCGCAGTTGTCTGATGAATCAGATGATGTGGTGTCTTGAGCGGCTCACCCAGCGGTTGCACCCAAACAGTCAGTCGCGACTGCTCATTTTCCAGAAGCAACTGCAACAGTCTTTCCTTGGAGGCCAAAGACCTTTTGCCCACGGTCTGTGCTCCAACTGTTGCCGTCGTCTTCAAAGCCATGAGAACGTCTGATATCAGGGTGATTTCTGTCTTCAGTTGTAGTACATTGCTACCGAACGACCAGCATGGGGCTGCGCAAAACCAGCTAAGGCCTGCAGAAAGGACAAGGTCCTTCAGCCTCCACTGTGCCGTGGTTCCCATGGTTGTGCTCGTGGCGAGAACTCGCAATCCAAACAATACAGTCTGGAACCGAATCTCTCTGGCCATAGGGTGAGGATGAGAGAGCTTCATTGCAGTCAGGGTCACTTCCAGGAGACGGAGGAAGATCTGCTGGGTATCTGGATTTCCAAGCCGCGTAGCGTTGTAATGACTTGCAAAAAACTGCAGAAGTCGAGTATGAGGTGCGAGAATGTTATGCACCAGTTGCTTACGCTTTGCGACGGACGCCGAGTCGGTGGGCGCAAATTCTTCCTTCAAAAAGAAGGGATCGGGGTTGCAAATGGTAGAACTAAAAAGACCGAGCCGCTTTTGGATACTGAATTCCCACTGCTGGGCTATTTCGGCAAGGATCCGGGGTTCCATCCGCGGGTTCTCGTTGATCACGCCCAGCCAGAGAGACACTCCAAGTTTGATAGACTGCTTCGTAAAGATTCCGAACGGAATGCTGACCAAATAGTGGACAATGGAGCATTCATCATCAGTACTGCGACACAGCAAAGCAGCAGCACGGCGTAAGGTGTTCCTGACATCTGTAAGCGGAGTGGTTTTGCGGCTGAGAACGCGCTTCTCAATATGAGCAAGAGCGATTATGGCGTCGAGGCTGTCGCTGGTCACCGATGGGAGAGAAGAAGTTGCCTGGTCAGGGTGCATGAAACCCTGCCATTCCAAGCTGCGGTCTGGAAGTGCCTCTGTGTATCGATATTCCTGGCGCTTGGTGTACTGCGCCATGAAATCCGAAGCAGTGTTGATACGGTAATCCCCCAGCACGTCAAGCAAAGCCAACCTCTGGTCTGTCGAAGGGATTACCGAGCCAATATCGACAGCAAAAGATCGGCCAAGTGACATGTGCCCATAAGAAGCGTCATCATCAAAATCAGAAAGGTAGGTTTGCAAGAGGCCCTTGACATCGGCAGGTGCTGTGTTAACAGCGCTAGTGAGCCACTCCTTTGCCTTTCGATGCAGCCTTTCGAGTGTGAGGTGCCTGAATTGGTAGTCATGAGAGAGCTCGACGGTAACGTTACCTCTGGACGACTTGAAGGTAGTTCTTGGTTCATACCGATCTGTCTCGGCCTCAAGACAGCTTGTCCACATGAGGGAAAGAAGTTCAAGGAGTGCGAACAGAGATGATCTCTGGCAGAGTGCCGACGGAATATCTCTGATGATGCGGTCTGCACAGCCAAAAGCTGCCTGTTGGACTCGGTCTATGCGGTGACAGCACGCGCAGAAGATTCTCGCAAGCTGGCCAGCCGCATATTGAGCCGAGAATGTCGGGTTGGAGCCACCGAGAGCCCTCTTCAGATATCGGCTCATCACGGCGTCCATAATACCGTCCATCGTACGACTGACTTCTCCGCGGCGCATGCTCGGTTCATTGAAGTATGAAAGAGCCTTAGTGCAGTCACCCGCATCCGCTCGCAAGCTCTCGACGAGGTAAGCGGCATTCAGGAATATCACCTTGCGATAACTGAGCCCCTTAATCTCGCCTGCCCGGGACGGAATCAGCTCCGAGAGGTATTTCTTCTGCAAGGACTCCCGGTCAGAGCTCTCGCCTCTGCGTAGGATAGGGTTGAGCTCAATATCACTTTCATCTTGTTCCCCGCGGCTGTCCAGTACGAGGGGTGGCGAGTAGATAGCCATGACACGAAGCTCGCCCGCATAGCGTTTGCCACGGTCTGTCGAGGGCGTAAAACCATGGACGACTATGTTGAACCACGAGTCACGAAGCATAGAATAGGTATCATCATCTGCTTCAGCTCCAAAGCCAATGTCGTTGGCATTGGTAGACATGAACAAGGCAAGAGGTTGGAGCAGTTGTGCGATCTCACGAGCGGCAAGTTCCATGTCGGACTCCTTGGCGCTTTGAGACGGAAGACCGTGGGCATCTCCCTTGGAGATGATACCATCCAGTAAGTGCTCCAGATAGATGCTGTAGAGGGGAGAGTCGCGAGTGATGTTGCAGGAAAGGTAGTTGCGAGCTCGCCCAATCTATCATAATCGTCAGCATGTGTGCGTCTAATGAGAAGAGTGGCCTTGACTTACGGCCAGCAAAATTCCCTCCCTGTTTTCCACCACCGCATTGTGAGCGAGAGCGGCGTAGTGCTTGAGCAGGTTGCGGAATTCAGACTGGCTGCCGCTGATAGCCAGGGTGGCAGCACCAGTGATAATACGGGTATCAAGAGGACTACTCAGCCTGACGATCTTCTGGGCGAGCATGGATTGAGCAAGGCCGGTAACCTTAACATCTTTACAAATGCCGGCAATTTCGCAAATGGCCTGAACAGCATTGCCCTGGACTGCAGAGGATTCTTCCTCGCCTGAAAGCTGAAGAGAAATTGCACTGCCCGCCGATTGCCTGTTCCCGTATACTTCGAGAGTGTCATTTCGGGTCTCACCCCCAGCTCCGTTGGTCGTGGCCCGCTCACCGCCAGGGCTCAGAACATTTCCAAGGGTGTATAAAGTCGTGATAACGGCATCCTTTGAAAGCATCTGCAAGACATAAGCGAGGCACTTGGAAGCCACCGTCACTGTCTGGCTCTTGTATCCGCCCTGGACTATAAAGCGTGGTAGTAGGCGGCTGACGTTGGCGGCATAGCTGGGGATGATCCTACACAGTAGTGCCATTGACTTGAGCACTATAGAAGCCAGATCTTCGTCTACCATACTCGAGGGATCGCCAAGAGTGTCTTCGAGCCAGGGCATGAGTACATCGCCGTCGGCTGCCTCTTCGTTCAGGGTAGCCGCGTTGAGATAACTGATCAACGCGGCCCCCTTGACAGCAAAGGCGAGTCTCTGCTTGGCGGGCGACAGGCTGTCAAAATCAGCACTTGATTCCAGATCATTCATCTGGTCCATGGCAACCGTGGCGTATAATTCCACGGAGCGGGAGTCGGCATCGCCATTTTTATCAGACAGTGATTGACGCAACCCATCACCCGACATGAGGATATCCAGTACGTGCGTGGACCGTAGCGCCTCGGGCTGTGCAACCAAGAGAGAGGTGGCGGCAACAAGCAATCTCATAAAGCTACGTTGCAACAGCAAGGCCCCCAATGGCCGCCCAACTTCGTCGTATAGGCGTAACCATCGCCTCCATTCTTTGGCATAACGATCGTGGGAATGCGAGTTGCGAATAATGGAAAAGGCAGTCTCTACCGCCATCAAAAAGGGTGGGGACAGCATATTACGCAACCGCTCGACCAGGCTCAAGCGGCCCCCAGACTTCCAGAAATCAGCCTGTGCACAAGCAGCGTCCAAAAATCCCAACAGAGCAACGGTAATGGTAGCGGTCCGGATGGCATCGTCAAGAGCGGCCGGGCCCTCGTAGTTGGCCTCGGTAAGAGTCTGAGTTGCATGGGCACAGGCGTTGAGGTAGGCCCAGATACTGTCAGATACCTCTTGTTGGACATGAGTCGCGTGCCCTATACCGAGAGACAGCAAAGCAGTGGTGACGTGATAGCTGAGGGATTCGGTGGGAGAGGGCTCAACTTCTCGGAAAAAAGGCGACAGGGCAAAGGTCTGGGAATGTGAATCCATAAGATATGGCACCAAGTGTCTAGTGAGCTTCTGTGCACTCTGGGCAGTCGTCAAGCTGGGCGCGGCCTTGCAGAGCGCGAAAAGAACTTCGTATTCCTTGATCGTCTAGAGGCCAAGTCAGCGAACTGTTCTAGAAAGTTGGGGACAGAGTGGCGTTGCCATTGTACCATGGGGATGCGCCCAACATTAGACCCGTCAGGGGGCACCGAAGACGGAGATAATGGACCACGGCCATTGACAGCGCCTGGAGCAGAATGGCCTTGCGTGACCGAGACTCTGCATAGCTTGTCAAGGTCAGACTGATCGAAGGAAGCGGCCGGGTTCGAGGCGGACAAGGCGGCGATCTGTAGCAGAGCCTTGCTCCGAATATTGCGGCCCATGATGAGCAGCGGTGCCGAGACCGGGAAACAAGGAAGAGAAGGATAGTCGCACAGACCGACACGAGCCGGATGTTTGAAACTGTCTGAAGAGCCGAATAGGGGCAGATATGGATCGATCGGTTCGATTATTGTATTAGATCTCCGTGGCTCCAGAGAAGACACCGGAAGATAGACGAGTAACCGCTAGAGGAGCCTAGCAGCAGGGCGTAATAAACAATCTGCAATATCATATACACCTTAGCATGAGTTGAAAATGTCAGAGCACAAATGTAGAGACGGTACGGTGTAGGAGATATTCAGGGTGCACTTGAAGGAACCTCTATACTTGTAGAGACCGTCATGACGCCTACCTTGGAATTTCCCCGGTTCTCTTCCATACAGCTAGGGATCGGAAGATGGACGATTTGAAGTCTTATTCTGTGCGCTTTCGCAAAGGGTCACGGGCGATGACGATAAAGATGGGAGGTTTAGGTTATGCCGGAATCACATGGACCAGTCGTTAAAGGGGACGATGGCGCGTTAACGTCGAGTTGCAACTGCCCGGTACCTCTACGCAGCCATGCAATTCCGGGAGTCGGTATTACACTCCATTTTAGGGGAACGGTACGTACCTACTGTATTGTCAGAGGGCCGTGATGGCAGCGGTGGATGGAAGTCCAGGCCGAGCACGCCTCAGCGCGGTCAGGGGCACCCAAGCCCCACTACTATACATGAAAGCGACATGGAGTCCATCCGATGCTGCTGACACCCCCCCACTGCACAAGAGCACCCAGGCCCCACCTTCCATCCTTCGTCCCGTTGAGGTTGTTGGTCCCAGCAGGGGGCAGAGCGGCCCTGCGAGCAAAGGAAGTTATATCTACATTACAGCAGTGTATACATAGTAGGGAGGTGTATGTCCTGATTGTCAGGGCATCACATGCTCTACTAGGTAGCTATGGCTTCACTTATCGTCTCCTAATACGCCCCGAACTAGCTGACAAAGTGGCATCTTTGCACAGTAGGTATCATACCTCTCTTTTCGCTCCACTTACTTAGCTTGAGGTATGGTTTGGATTTCCCTATGAACGTAGCGACCATGTACCGCCGTCAAATGCAGTACAGTATTCGTAACTGACCAAAGATTCCTACGTTTATAACATTCCGTATCGTAAGTGTATGTAATGATACATACCAGCACATTTGACTACACGTCAGCTGGAACTGCCCTAATCCATAACCGTCAGTGCCGCTGTCCCCGCCATTAGCCATCAGGCGGCTGCACGTTGACGCGTGCAGCTATCAAAGATCAGGGCTAGGTAGGCGGGAGCTTCAGGCGCTTGCCAGTTACAACCTCCCATCATCAACCATCACACATCACCGCCAAACTCATCATCGTCAACGATACACGACAGACCCCCGATCTTTCGCAAACAAGGACGAGCTTCTCCAACCTCAATTCCTTCGAAATCCATCAACCAACAGCATCCCGCAACTGTGACCACAAAGCGGTTCCATCATGGCTGCCATGTTCAGTCAGAACCCCCTCATGAACGGGCCCAACTATTCGTTCAACGATGCGCCGAGGACAGCAGCCCCCGAGGGTGCGCGACAGCATCGTTTTGATCCGTAAGTATACACGACTGCTTGCTACTTCTTCTTGTTCCTCAATAGTGGGCATCGCGCAGCTGACAGTTGACTATCCAGATACACGGACAACGGCGGTTCGACGCTTGCTATTGCTGGCGCTGACTTCACAATCATGGCCGGTGACACCCGCCTGACATCAGGCTACAGCATCAACTCGCGATACCATCCCAAGCTATTCAAGATCGGAGGCACCACGGCAGACCAGAAGGACGCCACCATCGTCTTGTCCGTCGTTGGCTTTGCGGCAGATGGAGAGGCCTTGAAAGAACGTCTCGACGCTATTTGCAAAATGTACCGCTACCGCCACGGCAAGCCCATGAGCGTCAAGGCATGCGCTCAGCGTCTGTCGACCATTCTATATCAGAAACGTTTCTTCCCCTACTACGTCTATGCCATTCTCGGTGGTTTGGATGAGGAGGGCAAGGGCGCCGTCTATTCGTACGATCCCGTTGGAAGTTACGAGAGGGAACAGTGCCGGGCTGGCGGCGCGGCGGCCAGCTTGATTATGCCGTTCTTGGACAACCAGGTCAACTTCAAGAACCAGTATGAGCCTGGCAGTGGTGTTGGCCATGCGCTCCAGGAGCGCGAGCGCAAGCCGCTCACACGATCCGAGGGCGAGGTTTTGGTCAAGGATGCCTTCGACGGAGCTGTTGAGCGTCACATCGAGGTCGGTGATGGCCTGCAGATGATGGTCATCACCAAGGACGGAATCGAGGAAGTTTTGCTCCCATTGAAGAAGGACTAAGACAGTCTTGACCGGTCGCCAGGTTGGTGCATTTGCTTTTGGAAGCACGTCTAAGTCCAGCATTTGGTTCTGAATAAGTTGCGACCTTGGCACATCGTAATAGAGCTCCCGAGCAAAGGAGATGAACGCTGCAAACGTTGAAGCTCTTCGGTTAGAGCGCTTGGCGGGAGCAAAGGGGATCGAATGGCGTAGACCAATTAGCATCGACAGGTAATAGGGCTCAAGGCCCAAACCCAGGCAGATGGAAGGCTACCTGCACACATGATCTTCGCTCTTGCGTGCACGGTTACCAGCGACCAGGTGGATGTTTCTGGCGTTGCAGGAGTAGACAAGCATTGCATTGAGCTCAGGTAGTTATGAGATTATGATGATGGTTTTTGTCCTTCCATGCATGCACTCTAGCACTCTACTAGCCGATTTGATGTTGTCACGTAACCAGTCACGTTGTGTGCCTTACTAGACAGCCACGCTAACAAGTTATATCCGTACAGAGGTGTACAGCTCGTACGGGTCCTAGTGGTCTTCTTTTCCTTCTCCAAACAAACCCAGCCCTACCCTAAGGCCCGGTGAGTGTTGTTGATGCCGTGGTCATCCTGTCTTTGAGTGTCTGGCTCCAGTATAGCCGATCTGTGATTTAGAGACAGAAGTGAAGAGGGCCGAAACTAGCAAGGTTGAGCATCGCTCGCTGTGGACCAAAATAAACCTCCAGAACCATCATATTGTGTTGGTTATGGGCAAAAAGAGCATATGGCATGCTGTATAAGGTCACTGCATTATCTGGACTCGGGCTTGGCAATTGGGTTGATGAAGGATACTATGCCATAACGTATTTACACTGAATCAGAGCGACTTCCAGTCGCGGCCGGCCTATCATCTTCGGGTACCCAATGTTCCTTTCCCGACGTAATAACCCCTCTTGATCTTCTTCTTTTTTTGTCTCCTATACTACAGCTGGTCAGGCCTTTTAGGTAACCGTCGGTTGAGCCGGCATGCATCATTAGTGTACACAAAGATTGAAGAGGCGATTCATGACTGTCGCTAAACCTTCCCTGCTACTTCCACAGCTTTTTCACGCTACGGAAGACAACAATGTGTTGATTATCAACGATCTGATGGCGGCGAAGGGACTCGGACGAGGTCCTCATATAGGTATGATCGATGGTGCATGGCCACAGCTGATCCACTGGAAGTGAGACGTGGCTGAGCAACTCAAGATCGACTCCCAGCTGAGCAGTTCGATTGGTCCGTCGTTGATTGCAAGTGTCGTCGAGGCTCCATCCAAGTGGCTTGAACTCCATGTGGCGCAGTACAGCCGACACTCAGTTAATAGTGGACGCCGCGGTGGCAAAGACGCCTCAGCTAACGTCAGGTTCTTTTGAGCCTTTCGACGTCACTCTAAACGTTCTTCCAAAGACCTAATAAACTCTAGCTAAAGGAGCCTTTATACATCTGGTAATGAATGCTGTATTGTCAGCAATATATGGAAGATCTCTAAAACAAACCAAAAATCAAACAAGTCAATCAACAGATATGTTAGATGATAACTCAATATCGAGACAGAGGATATGTGATGAATCTGTAACACAAAAAGTATTCAATCAAGTGCTCCCCTGCCCACCTGTCTGGAAGAAAGTGTCCGGAGAGTCTTCGCTGCATACTTATTAAAGCTGAAGTGTTCCTTAAGTAACCGCAACAGAACTCCCATCGCCTCACCTCAAGGTAGAAAGTCCTTATCTTATCAGTTCGTATCAGCAAGGGCACCTCTACCTCTACCTAATCTTCCCATCTATTCAGTTTCACTACTAGGTAGGTACTCGTCGTTAGGTCGACATAGCTGGCTGTACTGTGTAACTGAGAAGAGAAGCGGGTCTCCAAATGGGTGGCCCCACATGGCCGTGGTTGTAGAGAGCATATGACACAATCCAACCTAACTCTTGCCGTGGATCTTTCATGGTAGATGCAGCCGGACCTTGGCCGACTGTGGCTTGCCTCAACGGTCATTTTGGCTCGGAGCGTTCCGTTCTCACAACTGACTGAATGGGATCTGGGAGTCTCAAAGGGTCGCGACAGCCGACGTATCGTATCTGTCATCTATAGGTACTACACTAGTTTACCCGCGAATCTCGATGACGTCGGAGCCAGACTGACGTGCTAACCTCTTGACAGGTTCTCACCGGGGAAGTAGCCACCCTCGCCGGGCAGAACTTCAAGAAACCATTAGAAAATGAGAGGCTGAAAATCCGAGGATTGGGTTTGTAGTGAGTGCAGTTGACCCGTGACTTGATGCATTTGCCTCTGCCCGAACTTACAGACCACAGTCACAGGCATGATCCAGTTCGCGTTTACGACATCCCAAGCTGACTATATATCATGCACCTGTGCCAAGTTTATCAGGAAATTAAATTCATGCTCAAAGCATGTGTGCGAGCTCTCCATGGGCAAGCTGCGGCTCTGTGCGGCCATTGTCGCAAGTGTGCTCCTAGTGCACCGGCTGCCGGGTAAGTACCTTATTCCTCTCTCTGTCCCTGGGCATCAATCCTGCCATGAACCCTGCGGTCTAGACTAAGACTGCACAGCATGGAGATTGCCTGATTAGGAAACCGCACATCCAAGCGACTTACACTGGGCAAAACGGGGAACTGACGACCAATATAGATTCCGGACTTCACCACACGACACCGCACTGGAGGTGTCCCGCAAAGTCGCAACATTGGAAGCCGAGTGGCAAAAACGGTTTGCTCCATCGGTTCATCGCCAGGGCTCAAAGGACCCTGTCGATGCATGTCGACACTGCACTACAGTACACACACTAGTCGTGTAGTGTAGCATGCCACATTTCCGGTCCAGAAATTCCCATTGAGCCTTGAATCGGATTCTCAACCCCCATTGCCCCCAGCCCCGGTACTCTCCGCCTGCAGACATTCTTCTGCGTAGCGATAGGGCGGCGTCAAAGAGGTTTAACGCCCCAACCCATCATCTTGCCCCTTGCCCACATGACCTGTCCATCTCGCTCATCCTGTTTATCTCGCCTTCTTTTCCTTCAAAGTTCCCACTCATCGAGCTCCATATCCTCCAACCCGGTGTGCCGAGTGAGAGCCTCGTGTGTCCATGTCTGGCCCAGATCTTCGCCTGTCATGTAACTCGTCTCACTGGTTGCCGGTCCATCTTTGCGAACACCCCGAGCCGTCAAGAGTACCCTTCAAGGCCTCCTCAGCCTCCCACAAACAACATGATTTTCATGCCTCCGCATCTGGCATGCTCTTCCACCGTCCTGTCGATGCATGTGCGCCTTGCCCCTGGCCTGTCCGGCATGCACAAGCCCTGCATGTCCAACAGTTGCGACTTCCGAGACTTTGGCCACTTTCCGGTTGTGCAGATCTCTTGTCCCATTCTCCCTCCCAGTCTGGCCGTGTAAGGATGCTAGTCAGTCGGCATCGCCTGCTTACTCAAACCCTGCTTATGGGTCCTTTCGGAGCTGGCCTAGCTCCGAGAAGGAGATGAACCGCCGAGGTACCGTGTCTTGTAAGCGAACATGAGCACCAGCCATCAGGGGAGGAGCAAGAGCAAACCCTCCGAATGTAGTGTAGTGTTGTGCCTCACGCCACTCTCTGCTTCGAAACTTCGCCTGTTCAACGTCACGTTATAACACGTACTCGAACCCAGGAGTCTTGTCACAATAATCAGTGGCACTTTGGGCATAGAAGCTGCAAAAACGTCACAGTCGTGGACTTCAAGGTGAAAGCCCCGTGCTTGGCTACCTAGGTACCCACCCTATCACCTCGTCGATACACCCTGCCTTCACTCCTCCCTCGTCCCATCCTTCGCTGGTAGACCTATGCTCGTTCTAGCCTAGCCAGAGAAACAGGTGCAAGCATTCAGGGCAACCTGACAGATGGAAAAGGCAAGACAACCAAGCAACTAAGGACACCCCCTGTGAGCCTGGCTCATATTCCTCCTGCCTCTGCATTGGGCACCTGCTTCCGACGATCCGCCCCGAGCATCGGTTTTGAAGGGCAAGGGCTCTAGAGCCCTCACAGCCCACCCCCACGGCCCGTTGTGTTTCTTGAATTTATTCCCCCTACATCGATATAACACCCTTGACGTTGCTGGACCTAACAGTTCGGCATCTTCCCTGATTGGCCTTGCCAAATCTCTCTCATCGTGGCGTAATTTGGGGAACCTAAAGCCTTCCGTGCACGGCAACGTCGTTTCGCACTTGGCTGTTGTCAGAGTACTAACGACCGAACTACCTAAGTCGGCCCTGGCATTTCCCTAGGGACCCCTCCGCACCACGACACGCTTCGAGGCCCCTTGCCCTGGGAGTTCATTGTTTTGAGATTTGGTTGACCCCACGTCCGATCGAGAAGCTCTTATGATTCTTGAACACGACACGTGGTTCTTCACTCCGTGTTCTAGCTTCTTGGACTGACCAGGAGCTTGGTGCTTTGAAGAATCGAGAATCGCGAGTCCAGCTACAACCGGTTCGTTGGGTATTCATTACCATCCTTATGGGTGATATACGAGACCAACCCACTCCCACAAAGTCCGCAGGGTCCGCAGGGTCCACGGAGTCTACAACACAAGACGCCGCAGCCGCCTCGCCACTAGCTACCGTCAATCCAGACCTAGGTCAAACCACTTCTGAGAGCGCACTCATGTACTGTCCGATGGGCGTTCAACAGCAGCAGCAAGAGCAGCAGCAGCAGCAATACCAACAACAGCAACAGCATTACAGCAATGGGCCCCATGTATTCTCTGCACAGTTGGATATACCGTCACATCATGGACATGGTCGAGCAGGGCCGTTCAATATGGGGACCATGACCAGTGCTCTTCCTCATGTGCCGTATCGACCGTCACCGTACAGTCCGGGTCAACAGCCAAGTTACAACTCCATCGTTGGCCCATCTTCCCATATGGCCAACCAGATGACAATGTCCCATTACGGCACCCAAGGGAGTACATCTGGGTGGGTCGGAAACCAGCAGCAGTACTATGTGTCGCAGCATATAGGACAGTATCATGGCCAACCCATTTCGCCATCTCCGCAGGTCAGCAGAGCCGACTATGGTTACCCTTCCAGTGGTGTCATCGTTGGCCAGCAACCGCATCCAAACGCGCATTACTATTACCAACCAGGAGCTTCTGTTGCTGGACAGACGCCGCAGGCTCATGGGCAAACGATACCGGGGCATTATGCGACACCAGGTACCCATTTTGGTGTCGCACGCTCGGTGCAACCGCAGTATGGAGCTCAAGTGGCTTCAACCGTTGGCTGCGTTGGGCAAGGTAATGGTAAGTTGATAGTGTTTGCTCATGTATTTGTCGAGAGGTACATTCTGATCGTGCAACAGCTTCACCGGACGGGGGCCATAGACTGGTACGTGGGCCACCGAGGAAGCCTAGGCAGAGTGGTAAGTTCTCCATGGCCATTTATTGAAGCACTTGGCTTCGAAGTGGTCGAAAGCGATAGTTTTGTGGCTGGATGTAGTGTTAACGTGGTTCATGCTATTTCTTTAGGACATGCGATTTGGATAGGGAATCTACCTCCACAGACTGACTTGATGGAACTTGTCCATCACGTCGTCAAGGAGGCGCCAGGCCTCGAGTCCTTATTTCTTATATCAAAGAGTAACTGTGCTTTTGCCAACTTTCAAGACGAAGTAACATGCGCTGCCGCGCAACAGAAACTTCATGACTCCAAGTTCCAGTCGGTACGACTCGTGAGCCGGTTGAGGAAGAGCACGGTTGAGGGAGCCTTGGGTGTAACTGCACCCACCGGTCCGGCGGCATCCACACCTCCCGGAAGCTCGACGCAGAATGTCGGTGGCTTTCGGCAAGGTGCGGGTGGTACAGTAGTGAACGGCAGTACAGAGACGGCAGCAGCGGTACCGACCAAGAGCTCAAATGCTGAGACGAAGAGCAACGCTGCACCAGTGACCCATGACATGGCAGTACAGAGGGACCGGTACTTTGTCCTTAAAAGTCTGACAGTGGAGGACCTTGAGCTGAGTGTGCGGACCAAGGTGTGGGCCACACAGTCGCACAACGAAGAGACGCTCAACAATGCCTTCAAGGTAAGAAAGTTCATCCACTGTTCGGTGTGGAGGTCCCGACCATAAGCTATGGGACTATCACAGCTTGAGTACAGCTGACACGGCGGGCAGAACGCAGATAATGTTTATCTGATTTTCTCGGCCAATAAATCCGGAGAATATTTCGGTTATGCGCGCATGACTTCGTCCATTGACGACGATCCGGCGGCCGCCATCGAGTTTGCACCCAAGGCCCAGCCATCAAGCAAGGTTGACTTGCCCAAGGCAATCCCTACCGAGGCGACGGAGTTCGCGCCCAAAGGACGCATCATTGATGACTCGGCACGCGGCACCATTTTCTGGGAAGTGGTGAGAGAGGACGAAGGCGCGGGCCGGACCAGTCAAGAGCAGAACAGCGTTGCCATAGAAGACAATTTGCAGGCAGCCTCAGAAGAAGACACGGCGAGTGTCAAGAGCACAGAGGGTGTCGGCGGGGAGCCCAAGGCCTGGGGAAAGCCATTCAGGCTTGAATGGGTGTCGACAATACGGCTGCCGTTCTACCGGACCAGGGGTTTGCGGAATCCATGGAACTCGAACCGGGAGGTCAAGATTGCGCGGGACGGAACCGAGTTGCAACCGGTCGTGGGCAGAAAGCTCATCAGTCTGTTCAACCGGGCGCAGAGCCCGGGTTCGATACCTGGTGTGGCCCGCCTTCATCCTTTCAACCCCATGGTGGCGACGACACTTCCTGGCGTATCCCCACTTCCAATGCCCGCGCCGGCCCCCATTATGGCAGGTTACCCTCCGCCGTTGCGCCCCCTAGTCTATCATCCTTAAGATACGTGGAGGTACGGTCAGCCCCCCCATCGCCGTCGGCTATGGGACGGATGAGGCAGGCTCGTGTGTAATTGGGATTCCGCTTATTGCACCAAGTAGACCAGACTTAGGTAGCTTCAACATATTGTTATTACTTGGTTCTACATTGCTTGGTAATGGTGGTGATTGTATTGGTGGATGTTGTCATCCGCATGCTTACAAGGAGGGGACGCTCGGAATTCAGGAGCAAAGATTTGCAACGCATCGATAATACGACCAAAGTATCGTCAGTCTTTATTTCCCGATTTTTGGGTGGTCTGCACCTGCAAATACCCATTTCGAAACTGCAAACGGACGGGAGCTGGGAAAAGAGTCAAGTCTAATCGAGAGACACATTACAACCTCTGTAACTGATCCAGCATGAACTAGGCTCAGTTGCTCAGCGCCAGCGCAGCATTTGATGAAATTTGAGTGTGAGGAAGGTCTGATTTGTTGTGAGTGGAAGGAGTGTAGAGTGAGCAGGTACAGTAAAAACCCCTGCTTTTGCAAACAATTCCGGCAGCCAGATTTTTTAGCAAAAGGGGGGGTTTTGCAAAAGAGGGTGCACGCGCACGGACCAGAAGTGAACCTCCCGGCCACTGGATGACTGCCAATAGACTAAAAAAGTGGGCCACCTGAAGCAGCTGTCCCCCCGGTACAAGGGTATAAGTGTGCTCTCCCACCAAAATCAGACCCCTGATTTTGCAAATCCGGGCCATTAGTATTGCAATTAGCAGTTAGCAGTCCTTACCACCAGAGGGAATGCGGGCAACCGAAATCTTTAGCAAAAGGGGGGGTTTTAGCAAAAGGGGGGGGTAGCAAAAGAAGGGGTTTTTACTGTACCTGGTCATGGATGGGGTGATACTTGGTATACAATAGCCAGCTGGTTGACTGCATGGATCTTCGTTAGGGCTACACAATGCGTCACTAACTGGAAACCCACAACACGGTCTGGTCTAGTCTCAGTTCTCAGACCCACTTAACCTCCAAAACCCACCCCACCCCACCCGTTTTTGCGGAAGTTCGAGGAGGGGAGACCCACATATTTGTGGGGCGGGTCCGCTGAAGCGTTGTCGACGGAGGTTAAGTGATAGAGATTAGTGAAATCCCCCAAAAAAAAGAAACTGCGACCACTCTAGTCTCTATCACTTAACCCCCGTCGACATAGGGGGTGGGGTCGGGGGTGGGGTGGATTTTGGAGGTTGAGTGGGTCTGAGAACTGAGACTACGACCACTCATTGATCGTGCACAAACGCACGCAACTGAGCAAAACTGAAGCGGGTATAGTGCAGTGTGGAACTTTCTAGGCTGCTCCCGAAGCGTGCGATTGGCCTCACACCGTCTGGTACGCGCGCTTGGGAATAGCCTCATTTGTCAAGCAGCTTGCTCGCCTACATCGCATCTTTTCTGACGATCGCGTCCCACAGAAGCGCGACTTCCCCCAAGAGAACTCCAGTGAATTACAGTGGCCATTCTAGAATGACCTGGCATCTGCATTAAATGCTCCTTCCACCTTCTTCGTCCTTCGCGAAGGTAGGAGAATGAGAGCATCACAGGTGGAAGACAAGGTAATTTGTGAAGCAAACAATGCTCCCACTCAAATATAAATCTGGGTGAGATGTCTCCTTTTTCATATTGTCGATTCTCTGTTCAGCAGATCAAGATCATCCAGCAAGCAAAGTAATCACTCTTAACACTCTCAACGGCATCTACTACTCTCAGCAAACGCACGAATACCTCCTTCGCCACTCTTTTTACACACTCAAAGTCAAAAATGGCGCTCTTCCCTCGTGGCTTCTACGGCTCCTACGGCTCTGACCCGAGCTTCACCAACCTCTTTCGCCTTCTCGATGACTTTGATACTTACACTCGCGAGGTTCAAGGCAGCGCCCCAGAGACCGGCAGCCGTCGTCATACCCAGCCCACCCGCACCTTCAGTCCCAAGTTCGATGTCCGCGAGACCGAGCAGACATACGAGCTACACGGCGAGCTTCCCGGCATTGATCGTGACAATGTGCAAATCGAGTTCACCGACCCTCAGACCATTGTGATCCGGGGCCGTGTTGAGCGCAACTACACTGCCGGCACCCCTCCCGCACAGGTTGCTGGCGTCCTCACAGAAAAGGGCGAGCCGCATAGCCCTGCTGCTCACCACGCCACCGTTGAAGACGACGTCGACGAGGACAACCGCTCGGTAGCCACCACTGCTACCGGCGCCAACAACCAGAACAATCAGCAAGTCGCCCAACGCGCAAGCGCACCCACCACTGAGGAAAAGCCAAAGGCGCCAGCCGAAAAGTACTGGGTCTCTGAGCGCTCCATTGGCGAGTTCTCGCGGACTTTCAGCTTCCCCGGTCGTGTCGACCAAAACGCAGTCAGCGCCTCTCTCAACAACGGCATCCTCACCATCACGGTTCCCAAGGCCAAGAAGCACGAAACCATTCGCATTGCTATTAACTAAACACGATGAACGGTCTTCTTGTCTGTGATAAGGTTCGGAAGAGTTCTTGGAAGGAGAGTTGGTGTGTTAACAGCATGACAACGGAGCATTCACTTCATTTAGCATCGCATTGGTATGACGGCCTTGTTTGGTTGATTTGGAGCACAGCTGTGAACGAATACGAATGAGTATTGTTGTCATGGTCTGTTTGCTTGTTGGCATTGCAGTTGGGGATAATTGGCGGATCTTACTATTCGAGACAGATTTGGAGGATGAGCAAGGCGCTGGGCGAGTTTGCGGATCATTAGCTTCCAGCGTCGGCAGTTGATTCAAACAGGCAACGTAATACAGAGGATTCTTTATAATAACTAAATTTGCGTTCTTGAACACCACTACCCCAGTTCGTACTTGGTGATGTGACGACAAACGTGGCCCCGTTGTTGAGTGAGCGGTTGCCCCTGCTGCACGTGAGATTGATCAGTTTGTTTTGTTGACCTGAGTACGGAGGAACAGCTGAAAGTCTGACCCTCGAGCCGGCTGGACTTTAAGCACGTGTGTTCCCTAGTACCAACATCGATGAATGCTTGCTCACGCCCCAGCATAGCTTCTTCCCCTCACACAACTGTGCTTGGAATGCCGCCTTAATCCGCAGATATATACATGACTATAGAAGAATTAGACGCTACTCTGGCATTGTAGAAAAGAGAAGAAGAAAGAAAGAAAAGGGGGGAAGAGAGGTGGGGGGGGGGGGGGGGGGGGGGGGGTTGCACCGTTGTTGCCGCGGACAAACGCATCACCGTAGCTCCGCCTCTTCACACCGTTGATGAATTCCTCTGTTTTTTCCAGGGCAATGTTCATGTAACCGTCGACAGATTGCAGTTCACCTACACCACCCAGTGCCACAGCCCAGGTGTCCTGTTAGTTTCCGCATTTGTCTGCCGAGAGAGAAGAAGTTGCAAGACAACAGTAGTTTGACAGCAAATGACGAGGTGAGAGCTATTACTAACCCTTGTAGACCACGCCGGAATTCAGTTTGACAGTGACGGGATTGCCGATGATCTCGCTGAGAAAACCCGAGGGGTCTTTACCCTCACTCTGAGACGTGGCTCCGTTCTCCATAATTGATCGATTGGTGTGATGGAACTCAGCTGGGAGAGGTGTCAGCAGGTGAAATATTAAGCGGTGGGACAACTTTGGAGTGTGAGCGACGTCTCCAGACTTGGGTGCGCTGGGTAGAGGACTGACTTTATTTGAGCGAGTAACTGAGTAGTAATGAGAGCGGCTGTACTCGTTGAGGCGGGAGAGTGAGATTAGGGAGTGATGATGTCGAAAAGAGGATTGTTTGTTGTTTGAGAGGTACTTCTTTTGACGATTGTTGGTGCTCTTGCACGTTAGGTTATCAGGGCTTGGTCGGTATCAATGTTAACGGGCAACGTTCGTGAGGCCCGTACTGCACCTAGGCAAAAGTCCTGCAGGCGGCCCGCAGCGCCTAGAGGAAGCTTTGACATACGTAGGTACCTACGACACTAGTATAGGCACTGCCACCACCGTGACAGCGCTCGGCGTTTCCACAGAACCTTCGCATAGTGCATACATGGTTTAGGAGAATAAACGAGCGATGGAAACGAACCGCTACCATGGTTCCCGCCCATCCTGTTATTGATATCATCTCACTTCTTGGCAATTGTTTCGCAATTAGTTCTCCGGGATCTGATAGCAGGGGCGACGAGTACAAGTCGCCGATATATCTTGAACCTGAGGGCTCAGGAATAGCTGCAAGAGCGATGACGATGGTGAAGGCGAATGGTTGCCGACCAGGTTGTCGACCAGGTGGAAACCTGGGCAAACGGGCACCGCTCAGCTTCCAATTTGAATCTCAGTTGTTTTAGTAGTATCCCTCACGGGCCGAGGCCAATCGAGCCCATTGCATCTATACGTTGAACGCATCTAGTCTTATCTTGTTTGGATGAAGGCAACCCTGGCAGCTTTGCGCTTGACTGGCGCCGGCTTACCTATGTATTATGCCTCGTACATCTCGTACTCGGAATTTTTTGCTGATCCATTGGCTACTTAACAGGCCTTCTCAAGATCCATCATCGACTTCTGCTCAGTAGCTTCAAGCTTTTCTTTTCCAGTATTCACGATCGAATAGCTCAAATCG